CTCCAGGAAGAAGAAATACCATCTAGATCAGACCTGGGGAAATTGCAGTCCCCGGGCCACATCTGGCTCTTTGGCTGTCCCTATGCGGCCCTCAATGCCTCCACGGTTATCATGTCTCTCTGAGACTGTCCTCTTTGTCACTGAGGCTCAGAGAGGTATGCTGACATTTGTCTGTGTGGAGAGCTGCAGGAATTGGAAGGAGAGAGCCTAAGGAGCTGATTGGTACAGCGGAGAGGCTTGGTTCTGGTGGTAGAGTGATGCCTAGAAGACGTCACAACACTCTCCCACCACTATGCTATCTGGTCAAGATTTTACGGTGTTAAGCTGGCCATATACATATAGATTTTCATTTGAGAATTCTTGTTTAAAGAATATTCGTTTGATTTTCTAATCGTTATTGAGGTCAAATCGATGTTTGTTTTCGACCACAGTGATGGGAAAATTCGAAGGGGAGGAAGGAAAACATTTCTCGATCAAACAAATTTTTGGCCAGTATATGTGGTTATCGTTCAGAAATTACATTCATTTTAAACTCGAATGTTAAAAGCAAAAGACAATTTTCAAACGTCATTCGTCCATTCACTGAATTAGCAAAGAATTTTTGTATGACTTTTCATACGAATATTCTCATCTGACACATGTATGGCCAGCTTTAGCGACTGCATGTTGCAAAACCCAGGAGCTATGCACCTGTTCTTCACACCAGGTGAGGATCTGCAGAAATCTCCACTGTACCGATCTCAGGCTCTCTCCTTCCAATCACAGTGCTTTTCAGAAGGTATTTGAAAGGTAAGGAGGAGGTGTTATATGCATAAATAATAAACAAACAGAGAGCGCACTGGCCTAGTGCATTATCCTTTAACCACATCCCCGCCATCCTATAGCAGAAATACTGCTACGGGTGGCAGGGGTGTGCAAAATCACGTATATATACGTGATTTTACATTTAAGGGTAGGGGGCGCATGTGAGCCCTACCTGTGGTGCTATTCACTGGGTCCCGACCGGTGATTACCGAGGGTCTCTGACGGGGAGGAGGGATGCTCGGACACACTGCTCTGGATGGCTGTGCGCAGCACAGCCATCCAGAGCAGTGTGATTACAGTAAAGTCCACACACACCGCCCCCCCCAGTAACACACTCCCTGCACACAGTTAACCCTTTGATTGCCCCTCATGTTCACCCCTTCCTGCCCAGCACCATTAGTGCTCCAAAGACATGCTGGTAGGTTAATTGGCTCCTGTCTAAATTGTCCCTAGTATGTGTATGTATGAATGTGAGTTCGGGACCTTAGATTGTACACTCTTTGAGGGTTAGGGACTGATGTGAATGTACAATATATATATATATATATATATATATTTACACACACACATGTAAAGCATTGCGTAAATTGATGGCGTTATATGAGTACCTGTAATAATAGTACAGTGTCAAAAAATTTTTTTTTTTTTTTTTAAGCACTGATCACTGTATTGGTGTCATTGGGGATGTCAGTAACACCAAGTCAGTTCCCTCCAGTGTCAGAATACCCATCGCAGTCCACTATAAGTCACTGATCGCTGCCATTATTAGTAAAAAAAAAAATAATAACAAATTCCGGTATCTGTACTGCCATTTGTAAACGCTATAACTTTCACGTAAACCAATTAATTTACGCGTATTGAGATTTTTTTTTTTTAGCAAAGACATGGAGCAGAATACATTTTGGCCTAAATTTATGATGAAATGTTTTTTTGTTTTTTTTTTTTTTTTTTTTTTTTAACTGGACATGTTTTTAATAGCAAAAAGTAAAAAAATTTTTTTTTTTTTCTCAAAATTGTCAGCCTATTTTTTTTTTATAGTGCAAAAAATAATAAACGCACAGGCGATCAAAAACACCACCAAAAGAAATCGTATGTACTCTCCAGCGCCTCAGGATATGCACAGCCAAAAGGGAAGCCAAGGGTATCAGGACAGCGAAAACCAAAGGAAATTCTTCAGGGGTGCAGCCCTCCTCAGACGGGGAAATCAGCCACTGGATCGAGAGAAAACAGGTGGCGCACACACCTAGTGCATTATCCAAGGTTTATTGTAAAGAGTAAAAAATAATAAAAACATGCTCACAAACGAAGCATGTATCTAAAAAGCATAGAAAAATGCCGATGGCCACAATGGCAGGCAAGGTGTCCTCACCGTCAGTGCGATCAAATGGCTGACACGTTTCGGGGACGAATCCCTTTCCTCAGAGCTAATGACTAGCCTCTGATGCAGATGTGTAATGGATGAAAAGTGGGAGCCTTTTAATAATGCACTAGGTGTGGGCGCCACCTGTTTTTTCTCTTTAACCACCAAATGACAGCTCAATTCGTGGGGGGAAAAAAAATATGCAAATTTGATTTGGGGTGCAGCGCTGCATGACCGTGCAAGTGTCAGTGAAATTAACGCAGCGCCGTAATGCAAAAAATGGCCTGGTCAGGAAGGGGTGTAAATCCTCAGGAGGGCAAGTGGTTAAGGGCTTTAATATATAAAAAAGTAAGTATTGCACTCACAAAGTTCATCTCATGAGTACAGCACAAACGCACGAAAACATCAAGATGTGACAGAACGATGGAACATCCACAGGCTAACACGTTTCAAGGACTTATCTTCTTCCTCAGAGCCTACCTAGGAGGTGGAGGTGTTATATGGCCTCCTCTCTATCTGATTTAACCCTAGAATGCCACATTGTCGTCCTGCATTTGTATACATTGCATGTGTTTACAGCATGGTCCATTTGAACTCCTTTGAAGGGGAGAGAACTGCAGATGAATAGGTACAGCTTATGTTGGAGGATTTAATTCATCACTGTGCCGTCATCTGAGGCCAGTCAATTCGGTAGGCCTATCACTTTTTATCACTTTAAAGGCACTACTGCTTCTGGCTTCTATCCTCACTAGATTTGGACTGAGATTTGGTGTTGTATCTACTGTGCAGCGCTGTACATGAGGACCTGCAGATATGCATCTTTCTACTTCATTCATTTTGAGTCTGTGCTCTCTGAAACTGTTTCTGCTTAATCATTTCTCCATCAGTCATGAAGTCAGTAATGAGGAAAAAATGAGATGCAGATAGACCACAAGAACTAGTCCTTTGTCCACTGCTTGCCTTTTGTTTTAGCACAGCTTCCAAAATGTAGGTCCTCTTTAGCTTTGTACCTTTTAGAAGTCTGTTGTATTAAACTGTTCTCTCACTGTGACACGTATAGAGATGGTTGTCTTTTTGTAGGTAAAAGACCCTTTTATAGAAAGGTGATTTGTATCTTGGTGCTGTTTTGCCTACCCTAGCAGGGATAAGGCAGACTTGAAAGGCTCAATTTGCCAGCTAGACCATTCAACCTTTTGGCATCCTGTGAAATTATGGATATGGAAGTCCCAATTAAGAATATACAGCAATGCACAAAGACTTTGGCTGCTGCTTGGCAGAGAGAGCTGGCACCTTTATTGAATAAGTATGTGTCACTGTCAGGGTTCAGTTTTCAGAGACCAGTCGCTATAGCAGTAAAAGGGGATACCACCGATCAGCAGGATGAGTGCACAAGCAAGACACCCTGGCGGAAGACGTGGGCTCATCTGAAGTGTGGGGTCTAAGCACTAACTGGTATTCACCAGAGCTTCTGATGGCACAGATGGGTTTTGCTGCATGTTAGTACCAGGTCACGGCCCTCAGGATTGCCCCACCAGCTGAGCTAGCCGGGGTCCAGTAGCAGATGTAGCGAGATAAGGATCAAGCAGAAGCATAGTTGGTAACAGGGGCGGACTGACCATTCGGGTACTCGGGCACTGCCCGAGGGCCCGGGGTCAGTGGGGGGCCCCATGAGATGCCCCTGGTACCTTTTTATAGGCTTTTTTGGGTGTGGTTTGAGTGTGGGCACCATTGATCCCCTATAGCCCGGGGGCCCTATGAGTTGTCAGTCCGCCCCTGGTCGGTAAACAAGCCAAAAGTCAGTAAAAAGTGGTTGCAGGTTGGGATCAAGCAGAGGTGTAGTCGAGGAACAAACCAAAGGGTGGTAACAAGTGGTAGTGAAGATGAGGACAATTGCAGGTACACAAAAGAGCAAGATATCGTCTGCAGAGGGCACAATAATCAAGCAAACAGCAAGTGCAGTGACTTGGCTTATATCAGGAAGTTCATGGGATAAGAGTTCAAGGTTCACCAGAAACATGAGACAAGGCAAGATGGTCCAAGAGATCAGACGGGGAGCTGTCCAGCATCTCAGATGGCGTGAGAAGAGCTCCAGCTAGACACCACAGAGGTCGCAAGTTCAGACCTGGACCCCTATGGTTTGTAGGTCCCCCATGTGGTCCAGCTATCATCATTTATTGAATATCGTTGTAACAACCCCTTGTTCTTCTCTGTCTTATTTGTAATCTAGTTTGTCCTCTCCAGCCGTGCTGTCCTAGAGGGTGTTGGGTAAAAGGGTAGTTATTTTCACCTGTTATCTCTCATTCATTCCTAGATTGTAAGCTCGAAAGAGCAGGGCCCTCCATCCCCTCATGTTTTGCATTGTATTTGTATTGTTCTGTCACATGTTCTGTCCCCCTTTGTAATGTACAGCGCTGAGCGAACTATTGGCGCTTTATAAATACTGTATAATAATAATAATTCCTGGAATCGTCCAGGACAGCAGCAGCTCCCAGCCATGTGTTTTCTCTTCTGGCATTCAGACCAAATGTCCAGGAGTCCTTTCTAGTCTTTTAAAACATTGCAATAGCTTGTGTTTCACTATAGGTAGGAATAGCAATGTCTCTACCTCTGGTGTCCTGGAAGATTCCTGAAAAGAGGCTTTACCAGGTAAGATAAAAGTAAGTGCGTGTGTGTAATCTGGCGAGTGATAAATGATTGTCGGGGTCCATGTTATCATTTCTGTTTGGGTGTGTATATTAAACCATTGAAAATATTGAACTATGATTGTAATTTTCTTCTATAAGGTCTTCAGTGCAAAATAGTTGCACACAGTTAACAATGTAATATCTCTCTGCAGGGAGGTCGGAATACCAGTCCCGTTTGCCACCCGCTCAGAAGACCTCTCCACCTGAAACACCTTCTCCTCCACCCCCCCAATGTCGGCTTCATACAGAGGAGAATCGGCTGCAGAAGAGGCATCAGTCCCCAAGCCTTTCTTATGCTGAAACTGTGCATTCCTCTGGTAGTATACTTTATAGTTTTTATATTGTACAAGTGTGACATGGAAACACCATTCATTGACTGGGTGTGGATATACGTTGTTGGAAAATGTTTGGGGATTTCTGCACAAATTGCTTCTCGATTGGAATTTGTTTTTTTATCTCAATCATAATAAATGAAAACTGTGCTATTTAGAAACCATCTTACAGCATTTTATAATTCCATAACTATCCAAAGCAAACAGTTTAAACAATCAAATTGATGAGAAAGGTAGACTAGGTTCGAAGATAATGTTTACTTGAGAAACAGGTAAGTGGAGTCAAGTGTTTTTGTTTATTGAAATGTGGATTTCCCCATCTTGTTATTTTAATGCACAAATCAAGTCACAGGAATAGATCTGCAATCTGACTTTGGACGGGCAGCCTTTATTTTCAGTCTCACCTCCACTTTCCTGTTCAGCAATTTTGCAGGGAATCGAAGTATGACTGCACAGTATAATATGCACCAGAGTAATACACAGTCCCCGAGGTAACTGATTAGACAAACTCCTTCCCTTTCCCTGCAATTCATTTCTGTGCAATGACTTTTGTGATGAGAGTTGTGGCTTTTTTCTTAGCTTTCCCTTGTATGGCCATGGTGAGATGGATAATTAATTTACAAAAAAATGGCAGGAAAAAAGTTTAGAGGTATTAAACCCAAAGCCAAACCTGTATTATATTGCAGTTGGCCATTTCTTAGATGTGAAGGCTGCATTAGTTTTCTTTTTTAGGCTCCTATTTTCATCTGGTGATCTAGCCAGTAAGACTGTTGTTTTTCAAAAGATCAAGCTCTCCAACAGAATCAGTTACAGACATGAGAGAAAACATTTAACACTAGCAAGGGTGCTTACAATTATCAACTTTTATTTATGTAAAACCTTTATCTCTAAAGGAAAAAAATGTTTACTGTAACCGCTTAGAAAGTGTTAGCTGGAGTTTGGCTTCAATTTGTTAGTGTATTTATATCTTCTAGTATATGTAACACGTCCCTCTCTCCAAGCTAACAATGTTTCTGTCTGCTGTGCCTCCCGTGTTCCTTCATCCAGAGTGGATGCACTCTAATACAGGAAGTGTGTTTACTGGCCAGATCACCAGGTGAAAACAGAGGGGGGAAAAGCCTGAGAAAATAAAACAAATGCAGCCAACACATCTAATGATCAGTAAGCTGCAATGGCAGCACAGTGGCTAAATGGTTAGCACTTCCGCCTGGCAGTACTAGGGTCGTTGGTTCGAATCCCAACCACGGCACCACCTACCTGGAGTTTGCATGTTCTCCCTGTGCCTGCGTGGGTTTCCTCCGGGTATTCCGGTTTCCTTCCACACTCCAAAGACATGCCGGTAGGTTAATTAGATCCTGTCTAAATTAGCCCAAGTATGTGTATGTGTATGTGAGTTTCGGGACCTTAGATTGTACACCGCTTAAAGGTTAGGGACTGATGTGAATGTACAATATATATAAAGTGCTGCGTAAATTGATGGCGCTATATACGTACCTGAAATAAATAAATATAATACATTTTTGTTATGGGTTTTTATACAGTTTTAACTTTTTCCAGAACATACCCCAGTGTACATTTGCAGATAGCAAAACTCTAAATGCTGGACAAATTCAACCATTAATTGAGTATATTGTGTGGCATAATATTAGGTTGTCCCTTATTTTTGCAATTGAAAGGAAGCTGGGTCATTCAACACATTTCGGAACCACAGAAAGGAATCTTAAAAAGGGGTTGCCTTTAATCCTTAGCCATGTAACCCCAACAATAAACTCCTATCCCAGACTTCATTACCCCATGGTGATTGGATTTTGGGAATATATTAGGGTTTCCCAAATTTTCACACCTGATGTCCTGTTCTTGTACAATCATCTGACATGACATCATTGTAACTGGTTTAAGGTGACTTACCCATGTAGTTTTGGGCCTATATTCAAACCATTTTCCTGGTGATTTCGAAGTGTTTTAAATGCGTATTGCAAGTGTTTTAACAGCATTTTTGCACATGTGCCAAGCTTCAGATGTTTGTTTTCTGAGCTGGGCAATGGGAGGAGAGCAGCTGCATAGGAGGAGAGGAGTATTTCAGGTGTAAAAACATGTATCACCTGTTTGCAGGCACTCCCATTAAAGTGAATGGGGTCCAAAATGCCTTGAAATAAAAAACCTCATGTGCATGTATTTTTTTGAGCATAGGGTGTAGAGTGCAGGGTGACTGAGCGTACAAGTGTGAAAAGGGGCAATTGGAAAGAATTTGTATGTTGGACAGTTGAAGAGAAACGAGCAGAAAAACTGCCAAATGTGAATTGGTGCTTAGTACTGGGGTAAGCTTCTGACGCTTGATAGAGTTGATGAAGCTACTTGGATGAGCGGCAAAATGTCTTCAGCTTTACAGAAAAAGTCCAGGTGACTAGCTAACTTTCAGACATTCAGATAAAATTTTTTTTTTTTGTTCCGTGTAAAGCTTTTAGAAATTTTGTACAGGAAATACAAGTGTGCATATATATTTGTTTGTTTTTTTTTTTTTTGTTTTTTTTTATCTAGGACCTCCACTACCTTTTCCTGGACCCCCTCCACCACACCTGATAAGTAGCAGTGTGTGTCCGTCTCGCACCCCAGGGTCAGACAGTAGCAGCAGCACTAGCAGTAATACCCATTCCTCTATACAAGTAAGTCTGCGGCATCTAATTGTGTAATCAGGCTTTATGCAGGAATGAGGAATGAGAGTTTTATTTTCTTTATTGCTCATTGAGATACACAGGATTAGTAGGAAATTATAGACAGTTGGGTTCTACTGCTGCCTCCAGGCGGTCAGGACACTGGCAAAAAAAAAAAAGATGAAGCTAGCCCACTGTATAACCCTGCCTCCAAACATCCGCTCTCAGTTTTGTGTCCTAGGTGGTTGAACGCTTTTTCCTCAGCTCTGCGGAAGAACACCCTATGTGTGTTTTTTTCTTTTTCCTTCTCTTAAATCAACATTCCTGTTACTCCATGAATGATTTTGCTTTTTAGGGCTGCACCGAAATGTCTCAGCCGAAAACACCCCTTTCGGCCATCATGAAAAAAAGCACCGATACAGGTGCCGAAAAAAGCCCGCCCCTCGCTGCTGCCACTGGCCGCAGCTCAGTAGTTCTCAGCCTTACCTGAGAAGCCATCAATCCCGGTGCTGGGCTTACAGATTAGTGAAGGAAAGATGGCCTACACTCATCTCTATGCCCTTGGAGGACTGGAGCGATGTCACTTCCAGTTCTGCCCATTTTTTTTTTTTTTTTTTTTAAAAGCACTAGATCAATGCTTATTTTTTATTTAATGCTTTACATGGCAGAGGAGAGAGATGGAGTCCTATTGACCCCATATATCTCCATAAAGAGAACCTGTCACTAATTATTTCTATCACAAGGGATGCATGCATTCCTTGTGATAAGAATAAAAGTGATTACAATTTATTTAAAGGGGCAGTGCAAAAAAAAAAAAAAAAAAAAAAACCATTAAATAAATTTTAAAAAAAAAGTTTAAAGTACCCCCATCCCCCCGTGCTCGCACCTAGTGGTGAACGCATACTTAGGCCACGCCCACATATGTAAATGGTGTTTAAACCACTCATGAGGTATCGCCACGAACGTCAGAGCGAGAGCAATAATTCTCACACTAGACCTCCTCTGTAACCTTACACTGCTAACCTGTAGAAATTTTTTAAAGCATCACCCATGGAGATTTTTAAGTACCGCAATTTCACGGCATTCCACGAGTGTGCACAATTTTAAAGCGTGGCATGTTGGGTATCTATTTACTCGCCCAAAATTTCCTCTTTCATATTTTACAAAAAAATTGGGGTATGTATTGTGGTTTTGTGAACCTTATTTTTTTTATCAAAGTGTATTTTTTTCCAAAAAATATATATTCATTTTTAAAAACTGCACATCTTGGTGCCTTTTGAATTTTCGGTTTCGGCACCAGAATTTTCATTTCAATGCACCACTATTGCTTTTCAATTAAGATTTCTGAAAGGCTATTTAAGCTGGTCTGTATATAACCGCTATCTGCATCAACTAATCCTCTGCGCTGCCTTGAAGACTGTATGTAGACCCCACTGAATGAAAAATTGCAGTGCCTGCCTGTAATGTAATGCTGGGGCACTGGGCTCTGCTTGTGGCACTCCCACACATCTAAAGTACTGGTTTACTAGCCGTAGAGCACTTTACAGGTCCCGGGACGTGGCACAGCCTTTGGTGAGAAACAAGTCCCTGAAGACTTGTTTTTGAATATATGAGGCTAGGGTTCCCGGTATGTCTGTGACAGGCATTGAACCAATCAATCTGCCCATATTACCAGAGACTGCCCTGGTTTACACTGACTGCAGCTTTGAAATTGCGCTACTTCACTTTAAATAGCGTGATTTGAAAGCCGCTGGTCAGTGTGATTTCAGTTGCAGCTTGCCTGACATCTGTGTGACATTATGCACAGATGTCTATGCAAGTCACACATGAAATTGGCAAAAATAGTGCAGGAACCTCTTTTTAAAATTGGTGCTGCACCACAAAGTCGTAGTCGCACTGATTTGAATCATTCCATAGGCACAAATAGGGTGTGACTTGTCATGTGATTTGGAACTGTCCAATTGAATGACAGGTCGCACCAGTGTGTGTCAAATTTGTCAAACAGAAGCTGAATTGGATAATGGTTAATGACAAACTGACTACTATACTCCCTAACACCCCCCAAAAATATGAAAAAAATGTGTGGGATCCATGGATACAATGTTCCTCGGTGGACTACTGAGACCTGGGAGATGTGATCCCTACTTCCTTTTTCAATTCTAACCCTTCCTATCTTTATCCCTATACTTCCTCCTCCCTATTTCTTCATCCTACCATTTCTCCTTCTTTAATGCTACTTGGTTGCTTTCCTAGTCACACTCATTGGGGCCAGTAAATCTTACTGGTTACTTTTATTCAGTTTATGTTGCCTGAGATCCTGACAGGCCAGTAAAAACTAACAAGTGTGGTCGGTAGATGGAATGCTGATGCACTAAATTTCCAGTAATGGTGCAGGATCTCTGGTCTTGGCTTCTGTGGGCACTCGTTACCTGCAATGCTATAGGCACCATTGCAGGGTACGGTGTATGCTTAATGACTTTTTACTATTGTTTCCTTTTTTTAGATGCAAAACTAATAAACGGATTGAAATATAAACTTAGAAAAAAAACCCGTAGGGGAAATAAGTTCAGTAGGATCATACTTCTAAATCTAATTAGGAGCGCTAAGTCTTTTCAGATATCAGATACCCATGATACAAATCATGATTCAAAAAGTGAAAAACAATCAAGAAAATAAATATGTAAAAAAAAAAAAATTAACAATACTTAATACCCACAATACAAGTGTCACAACCTTTACAAAATGCAGCAAAACAGTCAAAAAGTGCTTAGTGCAAAACTAAAAAGTGACTATGCAATAAATAATATAACTGAATATTACATTCCATAAATTTAATTTAAAAGTCCATGCCAGTGTCCTCCAACAAAGCGAAAAGATTGCTGACTCTTTATATCTACTTCAATGCATTTTTATCCACCAAGTGAGCACACAGACTGCTTACCAGAGCTAAAAGCCTCATAAATAGAATGCCATACACATACAAATGTATCCCAACGGCAACTCGCACTCAATGCCACGAGGGTTAATGCTCCCTGTTCCGGTTACCGGATGGAAACTCCTTGCCATTCAGTCATTCATAACAGCCAGGATTAGAGTTCGGATAGATAAAAAGATAAACTACTCTGTAGTGCCTTACGCAAGAAAACTTCCTTTATTTAAAAGATACTGTTTTATTGGGGCCCATGATGTCTTGGAATGTCAGTCTACCTCAGCGCCTGCTTCAATCCTCCCTTTTTTACTTTTGGGTTACCTCTTGTGGAGTATCTCTGCATTCTTGTCCATAATGTTCTTAACGTACTAATGTTTTTGATAATCTGCTGTTTTAGACTTAATGCGACTTGCTGCTGGCTATGTGATGTTGATTTTTCTCATATTGTCTGTATGACATTGCATTCTCTTATACTACTTACCAGTACATTGTGTATACCGGTTCATTGTCTGTCAGTTTTGTGCATAATAATTGCTTAAATAAAGGAATTGCAAAAAAAAAAAACATATTGCACCTGCAGTATAGGAGAATAGTCAAACATCACAGCACAACAGCATAAAAATCACATGCTGCTCTGGACCACTCAGAATCATGGCTGTGCGTGATGATGTCACTGCCAAAGGCTCCGCCCCATGATCATATATTTACCAAGGTGACAATGACATCTTCTTCCTTCCAGCAAGTCCCTGGGGAATGCTGAGTATCACAAATCTTGCTATGAAGACAGACTTACACGGTGTTGCATTTTCTTTTTGCCAGACTGGGATTTCGTTGGCAGGATAGTGACATTACCACCTGCACTAAACTCCTAAGAGCGGATTCACACATGCGCGGTGTGGATTGAACTTCAGGTTTCACACCTAATTGATACAGTAGTGGTTCACAGGTACACATCATGTTAGGTTCAGGACAGGATTAGTCAGGATCCTATCTTGTTCACACATACAGTTTAGAAACGGTTCCCATAGAAATCAATAGCCTATAATCCGCACCTGAACAGGACCGCACTGCTCAGAAATTGGACAGGACTCTTTTTTTTAAAACCGCACAAGTGCACCAGACCTATGTGAACAGGCTTCATAGGAAGCAATGTTTTTTTCACATGTCATGTGGATTGGATGCGGTTCAAACCACATCCAATCCGCATAAATGTGAACGGGCACTTTAGTGTTCTGCCTTCAATATTTGCCAGGATGCTGTGGTTTGTGTTCCAGCACATCCCAGGGTTTAGAGGTTCTTAGGCACTGATTAAGGTAAAGGTACACTATATTGCCAAAAGTATTGGTCGGGCTGCCTTTCCACGCACATGACCTTTAATGGCCCCCCAGTCTTAGTCCATAGGGTTCAATATTGAGTTGGCCCCTCCCTTTGCAGCTATAATTATTATTATTATTATACAGTATTTGCAGCTATACATGGGGGACTTCAATACTGTTCACGAGGGGTTCGAGGGCCGCTCCACTTAGAGGAGATTTGGCTTCAGGGGAAGGCTGTCCACAAGGTTTAGGGGGTGTCTAAAGGTTTGACCATTCTTCCAGAAGCACATTTGTCAGGTCAGGCACTGATGTCGGGGAGGAGGCCTGGCTCGCAGTCTCCGCTCTAATTCATCCCAAAGGTGTTCTATGGGGTTGAGGTCAGGAGGTTGAGGTCAGACAAGTTCCTCCACCCCAAATTGGCTCCTCCATGTCTTTATGGACCTTGCTTTGTGCACTGGTGCGCAGTCATGTTGGAACAGGAAGGGGCCATCCCCAAATTCTTCCCACAAAGTTGGGAGCGTGAAATTATCCAAAATGTCTTAGTACGCTGATGCCTTAAGAGTTCACTTCACTGGAACTAGGGGGCCAAGCCCAACCCCTGAAAATTAACCCCACATCATAATCCCCCCTCCACCAAACTTTACACTTGGTACAATGCAGTCAGACAAGTACCATTCTCCTTGCAACCGCCAAACCCAGACACGTCCATCAGACAGAGAAGCGTGATTCATCACTCCAGAGAACACGTCTCCTCTGCTCTACAGTCCAGTGGCGGCGTGCTTTACACCACGGCATCCAACGCTTTGCATTGCACTTGGTGATGGAAGGTTTGGATGCAGCTGCTCAGCCATTCCATGAAGCTCTCTACGCACTGTTGTTGTGCTCATCTGAAGGTCACACCAAGTTTGGAGGTCTTTAGCTATTGACTCTGCAGACAGTTGGCGACTTCTGCGCACTGTGCGCTTCATGTGCTGACCCCGCTCTGTCATGTGACGTGGCCTACCACTTGGTGGCTGAGTTGCTGTTGTTCCCAATTGCTCCCACTTTGTTATAATCCCACTAACAGTTGACCGTGGAATATTTAGTAGCCAGGAAATGTCACGGATGGACTTATTGCACAGGTGGCAACCTATCATGGGACCACGCTTGGAGTCACTGAGCTCCTGAGAGCGACCCATTCTTTCACAAATGTTTGTAGAAGCAGTTTACATGCCTTGGTGATGATTTTATACATCTGTGGGCATGGAGGTGATTGGAACACCTGAATTTACTGATTTGGAGGGCTGGCCCAATATGTTTGACAATACAGTGTATGTGCAAGTTGCAAACAGTAGCTACAGTTCACTTGAACTGTCCTTTCATTACCTATTTTCAATAGAAAAGGCTACTTGTTACTTTAACCAGGAACTATGGCAGATAGGTTTAACTGCTTGATTTTATGAATTAAAGGTAAATATACCAAGTATTGGGAAGTATAAGATGCCTAGCACCAATCCCATGCACGTGTGTTATGTGTGTGTACGTATGTAATTTTTTTTTAAATACAAAGAACAGTCATGTTGTCTCTTCTCCAGGAATCTTTCCCATACATTAACATAGTAGAACCACCTAGGAATTTGCAGTGGAATTTTCAAGAGGTGCTGGACAGTACAAAGAACTTCTCCCAGTCTCTGCAGATCGGAGAGGGTGGTTTTGGCTGTGTGTATAAAGCAACCATTCGGAACACTGAATATGCAGTCAAGCGGCTGAAGCAGGTATGCTGTACCTTCGGCCGTACAATAGCTACTTTGTGTGTGTGTTTTTTTTTTTGGGTTTTTTTGTGCTTTTTTTTAAGACATTGAGGTTCACTTAATTAAAATTCAATGCTTTTTGAAAAGTTACCATTGTTATGTCGTCCCTACCTCCTCCGGGGGAGTTTTTTTTAACCCTGAAATGCCAGAGCATTGCTGACACATTTGTTTGAGCATCTGAAAAAGGGCCTTTCATGACTTTTTGCTCAGGAATAGATACCTAACGTTTTTTTTCAGTACTACCCCATTCTATCTAAAATTTAAAAAAAAACCTTTTGACTCTAAATATACTCTGTGCGCTCTTTAGGTCAGGTCCACTTTAATATGTGTTTTTTAGTGTGTGTTTTTTTTTCTCCCATAGATTGGTGTGTTTTAAAGTGTATTTGTCATGAGAGAAAACCATAAACTGCCATTGGTGGCTTCTCCTTCCCTGTGCATTTATTATTTTTTTGATAATAGAGCCTCTAAAGCATTGCACCAGAGATCAGTAGATCGATGGTGCCATGCAGGTCTCCCTCTGACCCGTCAGTGTATCTGCTTGCTTGTACATCCTGTACCGGCAAGCAGATACTTATTGACAGGAAGGCTCAATGAACTACCACATCACTCTACAGCGCCTTGGAAATTCACTGACAACTACATGCCAACAGCCGCATAGAGTGTCGGAACTTGTAGTATTCTCATTCACGGAACACTGAGAATGAGTGATGCGGCCGGGCAGGTGGTGCCCCGCATTTTCTTAAATATTGTGACAGCTAGGAGGGAGGAGAAGATACCCTGCCAACTGTCACAATGGGGATCAGGGTGGGGATGGGGGGTGCGGGGGCCAGTCCATTCATAAAATGTGACATTGGGTCATTCATTAAGGGCCAGTTCACACTACATGAGTTTCAGGTGCTTTTTTTTTCTGCATCCAAAACGCACAGAAAGTAGGTGATATGGTTGTCAGTGTCATAGCTCACATCAGTGCTTGCAGTTCCAGTGCGTTCTGGTTGCAGAAAAAAAAAGCAGAACGGGCTGTATTTTTTTTCTGCACAGAAAACTGTACTGGAATGCACCAAAAACACACTGGAACACACAGGTCCCTATTTAAATTGAAGAAAAAGAGGGGAAAAAATTAACTGGAATGCATGAAAACACACTGGAACACATAAAAAACGTGCATACAGAAACGTATCCGGACTGTGTTTCTTTAGTGTGAACCGGCTCTAAACGTTTTTTACAGCTTATCCATTCGAGTCAAACTACATAATGTCCCTAAAATTATTCTACCTCTGGTGTGTGTGTAAATATACCTATTGTCATGTGAAAGCTGTTTAAGTACACACGTTCCCTACTGCATGTATATATATGTAAGGGTGTATTTTTTTGTTTACACTTCCTGTTTGGTAGTAAAGAACCAGTGACAGGTACTCTTTATGGCGGCCACCTCTGATGCTTCCTCATTCCTGTGCAAATCAAATGCAATTTCTGTGCTGTGCAATTTGAGCCATACATTTTGTATGGCTCGAATTGCACCGCATCCGTACCAAAAAAGTGCAGGAACACCCATGTGATCCGATTCTGCCCATTGCACCGTGTTTTGCGAACTGATTTCGGGGTGTCGTTAACTGTAAAGTAGACACCCGCAGTGATTCGTGTGAACGGGTGTGGTGATGATGTGGTGCAGAAATTGCACAGAAACCGGTGCTAATTTCGCACCACATCAGTGTGAACCCAGGCTAAAGGAGAAGTATGGCCAAAGCTCTTTTGTTCCTACTTCTGTGGATCACAGGAGTGCACTTCGTTCTGCACTCCTGTAACCCATTTTCAGCTGACAGCGGGCTAAAGCTCACTCTTCTGGTCAAGGCTCTGGAGAGATCCTGACTTTAATGTCGGGATCCACGCAGATGCCTGGACTGGCATCTAGCTCAGCCTCTCTAGCAAGCCTCTTAGAGCCTGAGCCAGGTGCTCTCATCCCCTCCACAACCCAGCGCTCCAGTGAGTGATGGAGAGGCAAAGCAGAGAGCAGAGAGCTGGTGACTGACAGTCACCGCTCTCTATGCTCATCGAAGACTGAAAACTGAGTGATCAGTGGTCTTTGATCACTCAGCTCTCGGTCTTAGAAGCTGCGGGGGACAGATGTAGCTTCCACTTTGGTGAGTATAAATAGTTTCTTTTTTTTTCTTTTTAAAATTCTCTTTGAATCTGCAGCTCAGCTGACCGTTGCCACTGGGATACTGAGCTGATGAACGTGGAAGTGCTCAGAACTGTGGGCTTCTGAATTCAGATTTCACATCAGGAGATCATTGAATGGGAATTTACCAGTCTGCTGTTGCTATCCTTTCTGAATCCCCCTACATTGGTCCTGAGTTCTCAGGGAAGCCCAGGGACCGCAAAGGAAGAGGGGAGGGGCTGGCTTTACTGCTTTACCACCATGTTGTAGTGATTTGGTGGCTTTGCAACCACCCAGATCACTTCTGCTAAATAACCGCCAACAGATACAGTATTTTTTAAAACAAGATCGTGGCTACTATTGCTATTCTAATCTGTATTTGTGTGATGAAAAAAAACAATGATTGTCTTATCTACTTTTAGGATTCTGAATTAGAATGGAGCACAGTGAAGAAGAGTTTCCTTACAGAGATAGAGAAACTAACATGGTAAAAATGTTCTGAAGAATACATGATTTTTTTCTTATGTAATGCTTCATTTGAACAAAAAGTAAATAATGTGATTCTAAAAGCTTATTTTTTTTAAGAAAAAAAAATAACAAACATGTCTATGCTTACCTGCTGTGTGCAGTGGTTTTGTACACAGCAGCCCGGATCCTCCTCTTCTCGGGTCCTCTGCTGGCGCTCCTGGCCCCTCCCTCCTGCCGGGTGTTCCTACAGCAAGCAGCTTGCTATGGGGGCACCCGCTACTCAGTGTGTCCATTCATACATGGAGCCATGGCTTGCCCCCACCTTCTCTCTCTTCTAATTGGCTCACTGGCTGTGATTGACAGCAGTTGGAGACCATGGCTCCCACTTCTGGCTCAGCCAATGAGTAGAGGGAATCCCGGGATATACAAGACTCCAGTGCACATTGCTGGATTGAGAGGGGGATTATGTGTGTATTGGGGGAGGGGGGGGGATGCTACACAGAGAAGGTTTTTTAGTTTCATGCATAGAATGTATGAAGGTTAAAAAAAACCTTCAGCCTTAACGACCACTTTAAATAGCTGGCCTCTAGTCAGTCCCACGGGGGTTAACTGTAGGGTATTGGCACACAATGTCAACAATAATTCAGCTTTAGAGAAGGTGCCCCTATGTCTGTACAGTTTTTCACTTTTAATGCTTCATTAACTTTTATGAGCCAATCTTGGTGGGTTGGCAGGATGTCAGAGTTTCAGAACTGGACCATTAGCTCCTTGGGCTATACACAAAAATCTAAAAGTAGCAGGTATTTGTCTCTTGTCTACAGGCAAGGGAGCTGAGCATCCCAAAATACATTCTAGTGGGTCTAAAGGGATTATAGTCTGGATCACGCCTCAACCTATCGATAATGATGTAACTTGGAGCATTGCTGCTACATAGTTTTAATTTAGTAGTCCAGTAGATAAAGGTTCGTACAAGTGTTTTTAACGCAGTCATTTGTATGTTTGAAACAACAACATTCTTACTCCACTGAAATTCGCTACACCCATTTAGTTTTAGTTTGGGGTTTACAACCTGGTAATGCAGTTTAGTTAGTCAAAGTCTGTCTCAGGTAAAGACTGATACTATTATGGCATTGAAAGGATTATTGTAATATATTAACTTTGTGGCTATAATTTCAATAGTCTGCCTAGTGGCAAATCAACCAGCACTGCAGTCTTTGCTACTGTTGCCCAGGGATAAACAAGTCATATGACAGGATTCCCCTAATGGTATAATCGGGAGCCTACTGGGGGCTCTGTCTGTTCCACACTAGAGCATGCACTCGAGTCTGTACAACCTTCCGCTATGATGACATATGGGGCAGGCAAGTACATTTGATATGACAAGTGCTGCTGCCCCATAACTGGCTGTTTATCCAGAGGTGGTAGTAGATTTGCCTTTCCTGGTTGGTTAGTATAAATGTATTTCACAGCACAATGTTGCTAACACAGACCAGACTGTAGAAACAGTCCTTTTTATTGACTCCCAAGAGTATGTTTCTTCAATTCAGATGGATTAAATCTCGGCTGGTTCAGCAGGGACAGGATAAAATTTGATCCATCTGTGGGCAGGCTTCTTGTATGAAAATAAATGGTGCAGCGCTAACTAAAAAACAAATATAAATAAATTTGTTTCTATATATTAATAAAGTGCTAATGGGTCCAAAAAAACAAAATATGCATATAGCAATAAAGTGACTAATAAAAAACTGTGATAACACAAAAGTGGACAATGCTGGTGTACGAGTCACCTTAGTGACATAAAACTAGTGATAAACACACCAAATATAGAATAAAGTAAACTAGTGTTGAGTGTCCTTAATAATTCTAAAAAAAAAACTTTTAAAGCAAACACTAATAAGTCCATAAAATAGCAAGTGTTGATAAAACGTGATAAAAAACATGCAGTGTGTTAAACGTGAAAAACTTCGTGCAAGTGCTGGCACACTTTGAATCCACTCCAGCTGCAGTGCCTCCTCACCTCCTTCCTGTGACCCCAAGGGGCCCAACAAGCATTCAGGATCACTCTGGATCCTTTACATCACCGGCTAATGACTCTCCAGAAAGCCAAGGATCATAAACGGTCTCCTGTTCAGCCTCCAGGAGACAGGAGACCGTTTAGGATCCTTGGCTTTCTGGAGAGTCATCAGTCACTAGTGTTTATCACTAGTTTTATGCCACTAAGGTGACTCGTACACCAGCATTGTCCACTTTTGTGTAATCACAGTTTTTTATCAGTCACTTTATTGCTATTATTATTATTATATAGTATTTATAAAGCACCAATAGTTCGCTCAGCGCTGTACATTACAGAGGGGGACAGAACATGTGACAGAACAATACCAATACAATGCAAAACATGAGGGGATTGAGGGCCCTGCTCTTTCCAGCTTACAATCTAGGACTTTATTGCTATATGCATATTTTATTTTTTTGGACCCATTAGCACTTTATTAATATATAGATACAAATTTATTTATATTTGTTTTTTAGTTAGCGCTGCACCATTTATTTTCATTTTTTGATTGATATCATCATTGGTTGTTGGCCGCTATTGATTAGGGTATTTCCATATCAGCGCAGGAGGAATTTTAGTTTTTCTTTTAGGCTTCTTGTATGGATGTCAATCCATTGATCAACTTCAGTACAACCTGCCTGTTAGATTTTTTTTACATCCTATTACTCCCGGTGGCTATAGCCACTAGCTGTAATCATTGTGTTTTGCCATCAGGGAAGGCTCGCCACCAGCAGAACACAATAACTCCGTGGAAGGGATTCCCCCATTAAGGCTACGTTCACACTAGCGTTGAGTGCAGGCGGCAGAGAGGCGTTTGGGAATCGTTTTTACCGCTTCCCAAACGCCTCTGACAATTCTGCACATTGCAGCACATGGTGCTGTTCTAACGGGAGCGTTAGTGTCGCGGCAAAACGGACGCCTCTGGTCGAGTCAGGAGGCGTTGAAACCTCCTATTCTAGTCTATGGTGCGGCTCCGGCCGGGCGTTTGCGGAGTGGTAACACCATTCAAGCTTCATTTGTGGGGCGTTTTCAATGCTCGGCAAACACCTAGCAAATGCCGGTAAACCGCGCATGCGGCGTTTGTCGAGCGCTAAAAAACGCTCCGCAAACGCCGGACCAACGCTTGCCAAATGCTATAGGGGCGTTTGGCAAGCATTAGTAAAACAGTCAAGTGTGAACGATCCCTAACACTGACGCTACTGATGGGGAAATCAAGCAGTTTTGTTTTCTCCAACCATGGTTGCAAGGAAAAAAAAAACACTTCATCTATGTCCTGCCCTAATGACTCCTGCAGCAAGCTGAAGCACCATGGAAAGGAGCAGCCACAATGGTGCCACATACACAGTTTTTGCAGTTTCAGAATTAACAGAATTCAGAATCATACCTGCTACCAGTGCTGGCAGAAAGTTGCCAAGATCTGTGCATCGCACAACAGCACACAGCGCGTTCTGTTTGGGCCTGGTATGAACCGGTCCTCAGTCAGTCAGTACTAGTTAACAACCCCTCGCCTCAACTATTATCTGCTGATTTAATGTTTTTCCATTAATATTTATAAAAATGAATAAAAGCCTCTATTACATTTGAAAATAACATATGGCCATTATTAATGGGTCAAATTATAGAATAAAATTGACTTTACCTAACCCTCATCGAAGTAGAAAAAAAGGATCTCTTTATTTGGATACATAGTTTGTCTATGGCCTGTCTATTGTCTATAGATAATTAAAATTATTTTTGCAAGGCTTGTTTGTACTGAAAAAGGATTACTAATATACTCACAGGCCACTTTATTAGGTACACCTGATAAATAAAATGCAGCTCTGCATTTTATTTATCAGTTTTTTGTGAAGGTTCAGAGGTCAGCTGCTTTTACTCTTTATCACCTAGCGCTCGTATACCTATTGATATTTTATTAGGTATACCTGTTCAATTGCTTGGTAACATGCATTTAGGCATCTAGATGTGGTGAAGACAACTTTATTGAAGTTCAAAACCGAACATGAGAATGGGAAAGAAAGGGGATTTTAGTGACTTTGAACGTGGTATGGCTGTTGGTGCCAGACGGGATGGTCTGAGTATTTCAAATCCTGCTGATCTATTAGACTCACAACCATCTCTAGGGTTTACAGAGAATGGTCCGAGAAAGCGAAAATATCGAGTGAGCTGCAATTTTGTGGATGAAAATGCCTTGTTGATGTCAGAGGAGAATGGACAGACTGGTTGCTGCGACATTCAGATAGCAGGGTCAACATGAAAGCATGGATCCATCCTGCCTTGTATCAACGGTCCAGGCTGGTGGTGGTGGTGTAATGGTGTGGGGGATAATTTCTTGGCACTAGCAAGGTGTACTTATAAAGTGGCCGGTGAGTGTACATCACTTTATTTTATTGATTTATCTTAGGTCATCACAAAGTTATTTCTGAATAAGCAGGCACAGAGCAGAAGTGTAAGAATTGCTTTGGCCATTGTGGGTTATACAGGCGCAAAAGCTGAAGTGATGAATCATTTTTCAGTCTTTTTCCCAAACTGTTCCTAACCAGATAAACTGAAAAGGAAAAAAAAAAAAAAATTCCAGAAAGATCTAATGTAAAGTTTTGTGACTGACTCAGATAATGGTACTTTTCAGAGCGACTAGAGCCTGAAGCGTCTGTGTGGGTGTAGTTCCCTTTTGAGGTTAAATTTGGATACAGCTGTACAGTTTGGTATCTTCCAGGAAAACACGTCGATGGTTATAAATAATTGGTGAATGTAGTGATGTATGCAGTTTTGTGTCACTGATCTATATTTTGCAATTTGTGGCTATGCTGACATGTGATGGTGAAGTAATCAACTTACACTGATTCCTGTGGCTTCCCTGCAGTCTTCGCCACCCAAACATTATTGACCTGGCTGGTTACTGCATGCAAGGAGAGGAGTACTGCCTTATTTATCTCTTTCTACCAAATGGCTCGTTGGAAGATCGACTGCAACTCCAGGTATGACCAGCAGGGCGGGGCTACTTGGTATCTGTATCCATTATTATAGAGAATGCAAGAGCCATTCTACATAAAATATGTGTAAACCCAAAAACAAAAATTTGATATGTTAAATATGGTGTGGCTGCATTTGTGTGGTGGGTTTTTGTTTGCTTTTTACATTTCCCTTCACTTCATATCCCATTGACACTGAACACAGAGACCCTGTAGAACAAATAGATCGTAATTACAATTTCATATGTCTCTTAATATTTGCACAACTGTTAATTTTAGTGTTTTTTTTTTTTCCCTGAAAATATAGATTTGATTAATTTTATTGCACATAAACACAATTTAAGCCACATTTTTTGAACAAAATAAAAGGTGAAGTAATATTGATTAAATAGATACCAAACATGTCGGCCTCAAAACGGTGAAAAATTACCGGACTCCAGCTTATCAATAGATCAGTAAATGAAAAATATAGAATTATTGCTCTCACTCTAATGTTCATTGCCATATATAACAGGCCACAATTGCTGTTTATATACATATGCACGCCCTATGTATGTGCTTGCATTTGTGGGTGTGTACAGTGTGATGGGGGAGCGTTTACATTTTTAAAAAAAATGTAATATTTTATTTTTTTCACATTTAACTTTATTACCATCATAAGAGGGCTAACAAACCCCTCTTATGTGATCGTTTTGGGCAGGTGACAGGTACTGTTTATGGAGACATCAGGGGTCTCTGTGTTCTGGTAGCAACTGTAAAATTTTGGATTGTTCCTCTCTTTATCCCTGGTAACAATGGTCGCCACGGCAAATGGAGAGAGTGAATCTTCCAAGGAAGGGCACAGATAACATTAGAAACCTGACAGAGGTCTAAAAAAAACAATAAAACAGAAATTCTCCAGTAAATGATTCCTGAAAAGTCTTACCCCAGCACTTGCAGTTAACAACTTTCAATGCTGCTAGGACCTGCTTTCTCAGTGCTGCTTCTCTGAACTTCTGGTATTCACAGGGAAGTGCTAACAGTCTGGAGAAGGGAGGTGGAGGAGCAGGGGAGTGCCTTGTCATCCTATGCTATGGGGCTGTGTGTTTCTATTGATGCACACAGTATAGAGAGAAAGACAACTTTAGTCTCTGCATGCAAGGGTGGCTCCATAGGAAGCAAACAAAGAAGCCACCTTGAAACAGTTAACCTGGAGCAATGAGCATGACACCAGCTTAATCTGGACAACCACCAAGGAATAAAAGATAAACAAGCTGTATGTGTGTAAGTAAGAGATTAAAAACAGTTCCCACTCAGTCAATAGCAAAATGATGGCCGAGCTGGACCCTCATCGATCCAAGTGGACGTCATATGAAGGCCTCCTGGATTGCCGCCTTGCACGCGCCCGTGGGGCTGCACTGTGGCGAGATCTGTCACCAATCTGTGTACCAGACCGTTCCCGGTACCATGTGACCAATCACAGCAGGTCACATGACAATTGTAAACAATGGATGGCTTCCTTTCTAGCCATCCATTGTACTGTATATGATTGTGTTGCTAGCTGTGATTGGTCACATGGTACAGACTGGGCTAATCACAGCCCATCTGTCTTATGTGTTTAGCTGTGGCCAATCACAATAAAAAAAACATTGAACTAATTGATTTCATTCAATTTAATGCTTGCCTGTAGCAGTGAAATACAATGCTATAGGCAATCATAATAATCATAATAATGTAAAAAAAAAAAACTGATCACTACCACAGAGTAGTACAATATTACTATGGTAACAGTATAATGCTATGGTCAGTGTTTTAGAAAAAAAAATCTTTTAAATAAAATTAAAAAATATATATACCATATTTTTCGCTCCATAAGACACACCTGACCATAAGACACGCCTAGGTTTTAGAGGAGAAAAACTAGAAAAAAAATATTCTGAACCAATGGACTGCAGACAAAGTACAGGAAATGACCAGAGACTGCGGACACAGTACAGGAGATGACTAGAGACTGCGGACACGGTACAGGAGATGAGCAGAGACTGCGGACATGGTACAGGAGATGAGCAGAGACTGCGGACACGGTACAGGAGATGACCAGAGACTGCGGACACGGTACAGGAGATGACCAGAGACTGCGGACACGGTACAGGAGATGACCAGAGACTGCGGACACGGTACAGGAGATGACCAGAGACTGCGGACACGGTACAGGGGATGACCAGAGACTGCGGACACGGTACAGGGGATGACCAGAGACTGCGGACACGGTACAGGGGATGACCAGAGACTGCGGACACGGTACAGGGGATGACCAGAGACTACGGACACAGTACAGATGACCAGAGACTACGGACACAGTACAGAAGATGACCAGAGACTGCGGACATAGTACAGGGGATGACCAAGAGACTACGGACCTTTGGGGAGGGAGTGGGAGCGGGTACCTGAATTTGAAAGGTACCCGCTCCCACTTTTCCGCGGAGTTGTCCTCCCTTTAGTGTGGGCACCCGGCTGTGACAGACGGGTGCCCACTGCGCATGCACGAGAAGCGCTGCGCTTTGTGAATGGCCCGGCGTCTTCTGGGATCTGTCATGTGTCCCAGAAGACGCCAGACTTGTGCATCTTATGGAGCGAAAAATACGGTAGTTTCATACTGTCACCAGTCAGTGTCACTAATCACCACCTCACCAGTTATATGATGATGATGTAGTGCACTGGTGACAATATGTAAAAAAAAATGGTGAAAACATTTTTTTTTATTTTCCAAAAAATTATGACAAAAATTCAAACTTCAGAAAACTTGCCCTGTCTCTTATGAAATACTGCAGACTATCTACTTTCCAAATAGCAGTAATTTGGGGGATATTTGTACTGTCTTGGCATTTTTGGGCTTCAAGAAATGAGATAGGCCATCAGTACATCAGGATTGATCAGTTTTCAGATATATACCATAGTTTATGAACTCTATAATGTTCCTACAGACTAAATAATATGCACTAATTTGGGTTATTTTCACCAATGAAATGTAGCAGAATACATTTTGGCCTAAATGTATAAAGAACAATTTATTTATTTGCAAAATTTTATAACAGAAACAAATAAAAACTTTTTTTTTTTTTTTTTTTTTTAAAAAGGATTTAGATCTTTTTTCATTTAACAAAAAATAATAAACCCAGTGGTGATTAAATACCACTAAAAGAAAGCTCTAGTTGTGTGAACAAAATGATAAAAATGTAGTTTGGGTACATTGTTGCATGACCGCGCAATTGTAATTCAAACTGAGAGCAGTGAAAGTTGAAAATTGGCCTGGGTAAGAAGGGGGTAAAAGTGCCCCGTATTGAAGTGGTTAAATCAACTGCTGAAAGCGCTTCAAATCCGTGAGTTTAATATCATTTTAAGCTATAATCTACATAGCTACATTCTCATTGTCCTTGTGCTTGTTATAACATATGTCTTTCGCAGGGCAGTTTTCCAACCCTCTCGTGGAAGCAGCGTCTGAGTATCATACAAGGTGCAGCTTGCGGGATCCAGTTCTTGCACACCTGCCAACCTAGCATCATCCATGGAGACATCAAGAGTTCCAACATCCTCTTGGACCAGGCCTTAGTGCCCAAAATAGGGGACTTCGGTCTTTCTCGATTCAGTCGGTACACATGTGATGCAGGCAAGAGCCGCACTTTGGCACGAACCAGCACTGTGAGGGGTACGCTGGCGTACCTGCCTGATGAGTATGTGAAAATGGGAAAGCTTACGTTTGAATTGGACACTTACAGCTTTGGAGTGGTGAGTAATGGCCTTTCCTGACATTCAGAGGCACGACTCCTGCCCTTCATATCTCTGCATAGGTCTGTTCATATCTGATCCATGCTGAGTGGCCGGCCTGATGCATTGTGAATGGAGGACGCGGCCATTCTGAATGAATGCAAGCATTCTCTGAAGTGGGTGTGTGTGTGTGGTTGTGGGGGGGGGGTGTGGGGGGGGGGGGGGGGGGGGGGGGTAAGTCGCTCCGACTTTACAGAAGGTTCCTATACTACTTCAAGGCGACTTCTATCCGATTTGTGTCCATAGACTTTAATAGAAGTCGCCTCCAAGTCGGATCCTCATCTAAATTGATGTGATTTGGATCCGACATTACAGGAAGATTACCTTGGGCTGATGTTCTCATTAGCCATAGGCAAAGTGGCATGACAAAAGTCACTTCAAAGTAAAAGTAATACTGGAGTCGTCAGGAAGTCGCCTGGCAAAGTTGCACTGTAAGTCTAACAACTTTCAGGTTGCAGTAGTGTGAACTGAGCCTAACACTCGCACTGACACAAAATATAAAACCTTTTTTTTTCTTACCTAAAACACACTGATCCTAACACTGACACTAGCTGATACTTACACTGACACTAACTGACACACTGCCACTAATTGACTCTTGCACTGACACTATCTAATATTTACACTGACACACTCATACTAAATCCCACCAACACGGACACCTACACTGTTACTAACACTAATACCTACATTCAGCTTGAGCAAGCACTGGAGAAGAATATTTATATTTTTATATATACATAAACAGTGGGGATCGAAAGTTTGGGCACCCCAGCTAAAAATTTGTATTAATGTGCATAAAGAAGCAAAGGAAAAATGGAAAAATCTCCAAAAGGCATCAAATTACAGATTAGACATTCTTATAATATGTCAACAAAAGTTAGATTTTATTTCCATCATTTACACTTTCAAAATAACAGAAAACAAAAAAAATGGCGTCTGCAAAAGTTTGGGCACCCTGCAGAGTTAATATCTTGTACTGCCCCCTTTGCTAAGCTGAGACCTGCCAGTGTCATGGATTGTTCTCAATCATCGTCTGGGAAGACCAGGTGATGTCAATCTCAAAGGTTTTAAATGCCCAGACTCATCTGACCTTGCCCCAACAATCAGCACCATGGGTTCTTCTAAGCAGTTGTCTAGAAAACTGAAACTGAAAATAGTTGACGCTCACAAAGCTGGAGAAGGCTATAAGAAGATAGCAAAGCGTTTTCAGATGTCAATATCCTCTGTTCGGAATGTAATTAAGAAATGGCAGTCATCAGGAACAGTGGAAGTTAAAGCAAGATCTGGAATACCAAGAAAAATATCAGACAGAACAGCTCGCAGGATTGTGAGAAAAACAATTCAAAACCCACGTTTGACTGCACGATCCCTCCAGAAAGATCTGGCAGACACTGGAGTTGTGGTACACTATTCCACTATAAAGAGATACTTGTACAAATATGGTCTTCATGGAAGAGTCATCAGAAGAAAACCTCTTCTACGTCCTCAACACCACAAAAATCATCGTTTGAACTTTGCAAATGAACATATAGACAAGCCTGATGCATTTTGGAAACAAGTTCTGTGGACCGATGAGGTTAAAATTGAACTTTTTGGCCGGAATGAGCAAAGGTACGTTTGGAGAAGAAGGGGCACAGAATTGAATGAAAAGAACCTCTGTCCAACTGTTAAGCATGGGGTTGGATCAATCATGCTTTGGGGTTGTGTTGCAGCCAGTGGCACAGGGAACATCTCACGAGTAGAAGGAAAAATGGATTCAATAAAATTTCAGCAAATTTTGGATGGTAACTTGATTCCGTCTGTGAAAAAGCTGAAGTTAAAGAGAGGATGGCTTCTACAAATGGATAATGATCCTAAACACACCTCGAAATCCACGGGGGATTACATCAAGAGGCGTAAACTGAAGGTTTTGCCATGGCCTTCACAATCTCCTGACCTCAACATAATTGAAAATCTATGGATAGACCTTAAAAGAGCAGTGCGTGACAGACAGCCCAGAAATCTCAAAGAACTGGAAGACTTTTGTAAGGAAGAATGGGCAAAGATACCTCAAACAAGAATTGAAAGACTCTTGGCTGGCTACAAAAAGCGTTTACAAGCTGTGATACTTGCCAAAGGGGGCAGTACAAGATATTAACTCTGCAGGGTGCCCAAACTTTTGCAGACGCCATTTTTTTGTTTTCTGTTATTTTGAAAGTGTAAATGATGGAAATAAAATCTAACTTTTGTTGACATAAGAATGTCTAATCTGTAATTTGATGCCTTTTTGGAGATTTTTCCATCTTTCCTTGGCTTCTTTATGCACATTAATACAAATTTTTAGCTGGGGTGCCCAAACTTTCGATCCCCACTGTATATGTGTGTGTGTGTGTGTGTGTGTATATATATATATATATATATATATATATATATATATATATATATTATATATATATATAAACATTTTCCAGACATGTTCTTTAGCAAGGAGGAAAATATACAATGCATCTTCTCCTCCTCCCTAGAGAGAAAGTGTGTTTTATCCTCTTCACAGAGAAAAAAACAACATAGGTGTGGACCTTCAGATTGAATGATCACAGTGATAGCCAATCAGAGGCTATCACATCGGTCATGTGGTCGGGATCCAGTCATGATTGTTAGTAGGAGACCTGGAGCTGCCAGTGACAGTCTGGTCTCTGTGCTGGGAGTGTGTGATCGAGCACGCTCCCAGCACAAACACAAGAACACATATGCTGTTCCCGGGTTTAAAGCCCACCTCCTGGAGGCCAAATATATGTGTTTACTGTGTTAATGCTTACATATCAATTTTCTTAGTTTCTAAAGAGTTTCTGTAAAATTTCTGGTTGTCAGTGAAAAAGGGCTGTCAGTAAATTTCCTGTTTTTGTCAGTAAAAAAAAAAAAGTTGCTTTTAGTTGGAATCCCTGGTCATGGGTTTTAGATTAACAGCTGAACATCTTGGGTATCTCGTGTTACAGAATTTATTAGGGAGGCCGATGTATTTTGTAGCACTTCCGCATTCTGTGCGGCATGTTTTTCTCACCTCCAGTGATGATGGATCTTTCTGAGTGTGTACTTTATAAATGTTATGACTTCCTACCCCCCCTAGTGGTAGAAAATAAAAGTTTCTTCTCCATGTTAAATTCCAATCAAAGCAAAAAGTTGGGTATTAAACATGCTACTTGTTATGTTCTTTGCATGAAGTGCACACTGCATGTTTTACATAGAGGGCAGAGGAGAGGGCCATCTGAAAGAAAGTATAGCCAGCTACGGACATATTTCCTATGTGTTTGTTATTTCTGGTGTCTAATCCTTAGTCCTGTTTGGTGACAGGTGACTTTTTGCCTTTTATCTGCGTTATTCACTACTTTTAAATCAGCATTTAAAGCACAATTCCAGACTGCATGTGAAATCAGTCAGTATTCTGCAGAGATTAGATGTTGGATGTAGGATGGGCTTGCTTTATGAAGCCTGTGCTGGGTGATTTCCTCTCTCTTGCTGCATCACTAATCCGATTCAGACTTCCAGGTCAGGTTTGTATGTTGTTGATGGTCCTGACTGACACTTTCAATAGACAAGGAATATGTAGTGGGGGTGTTTGAGGATTCCTCTTATATTAAAACTGGGAATCTTCCATCACCAAAGTCCAGTCACAATGGAGTGGACAGGTGCAGGAAAAGCTGGATGATTTCTGCATATTTTACTGTTTTTGTTTGTTTTAGGTCTTACTGGAAATACTGACAGGACAAAAAGCTGTAGATAATGAAAACAGTTCTCACACTAAGTATCTGGTAAGTTTTTGTTGGTTTTGAATATTAATTCACCCTAAAATGAACATTCCAGTTGAATAGATGCTACCAGATTTAATCACCCCCCTGCCTTCTTCCATGTAATGAAGATCCTGATATCTCTGCAATCCCTGACCCACCCACCTTGCTTCTACCTAATGGGGATACTGACATCTCTGCAACTCTTCATTCCCAGGATTGCCCATCAGCCTTTTGCAATGTAATGGGAGGTCGGGCATCTCTGGATTCCCTGAACCACCCACCTGCTCCTTCTATGTAATGGGGATCCTGATATCTCTGCAGCTTTGTGCTGCCCTGAACCCCCCCGACGCTCCAAAACGCTCGGGGGGGGGGGGGAATCAGTATTACTCTATGGAGATGGTTCACATCTCTATACCAAGTCGCCTGAAGCTCAAAAAAGTTTTGGAGCTAGCTCAATTTGGGCAGATGTGCATGTTTTTGGCATGTTTTTATTCCCATAGAAAAGAATAGCAATGCGCAATTGATGCGTTTTGTGCACATTTTTGCGTGTGTTTTTTTGTGCAATTTTCTGCTCCAATGAAAAAATTTTAACCAAATAATAGTATTCGTATATGAATAAATAAATGTAAAATAAATATAATAAATATGCATATAAATAAAAAATCATGAATAATAAATAAATAATTAACCCTTAACCTTAACAAAAAATACATTATTATTAATAATAATAATAATAATAATCACACCCGAACAAAAAAAAAAAAATAATTTATTATTATTTCATTTTTTTAGGTATTGGGGTTAAGGTTATGGGTTACAGTGAAGGAAATGCGTATTTGATCCCCTGCTGACTTTGAATGTTTGCCCACTCACAAAGAAATGATCGGTCTAAATATCGAATGTTCGGTGTATTGTAACACTGAGAGACAGAATAGCAACAACAAATTCAGCAGAAATGCATGTCTAACAAATGATGACTGATTTGCATGTTCATGAGGGAAATAAGTATTTGATCCCCTTCACAAAAACATGACTTAGTACTTGGTGGCAAATCCCTTGTTGGCAATCACAGAGGTCAGACGTTTCCTGTAGTTGGCCCCCAGGTTTGCACACATCTCAGGAGGGATTTTGGCCCACTCCTCTTGGCAGATCCTCTCCAAGATGTGATGGTACATTGCCCCGTCCATCGTCCCTTTAATGCGGTGCAGTTGTCCTGTCCCCTTAGCAGAAAAACACCTCCAAAGCAGAATGTTTCCACCACCATGTTTCACAGTTGGGATGGTGTTCTTGGGGTCATTGGCAGCATTCCTCCTCCTCCAAACACGGCGAGTTGAGTTGATGCCAAAGAGCTCGATTTGGTCTCATCTGACCACAACACTTTCAACCAGTCCTCCTCTGCATCAGTCAGATGTTCAGTGGCAAACCTCAGACGGGCCTGGACATGTGCTTTCTTGAGCAGAGGGACCTTGTGGGCACTGCAGGATTTCAATCCTTGTCGGCGTAGTGTGTTACCAATTGTTTTCTTGGTGACTGTGGTCCCAGCTGCCTGGAGATCATTGACAAGATCCACACGTGTGTAGTTCTGGGATGATTCCTCACTGTTCTCATGATCATTGACACTCCACAAGGTGAGATCTTGCATGGTGCACTAGACCTAGGGAGACTGACAGTTGTTTTGTGTTTCTTCCATTTGTGAATGATTGCACCAACTGTTGTCACCTTCTCACCAAGCTGCTTGGTGATAGTTTGGTAGCCCAGTCCAGCCTTGTGTAGGTCTACAACCTTGTCCCTGACATCCTTGGACAGCTCTTTGGTCTTTGCCATGGTGGAGAGTTTGGAATCTGATTGTTTGATTGCTCCTGTGGACAGGTGTCTTTTATACAGGTAACAAAATGAGATTAGCAGTACTCCCTTTAAGAAAGCCAGAAATCCTGCTGAATGATAGGGGGTCAAATACTTATTTCCCTCATGAACATGCAAATCAGTCATCATTTGTTAGACATACATTTCTTTTGAATTTTTTGTTGCTATTCTGTCTCTCTGTGTTACAATACACCGAACATTCGATTTTTAGACTGATCATTTCTTTGTGAGTGGGCAAACATTCAAAATCAGCAGGGGATCAAATACTTATTTCCTTCTCTGTATTTATTATTAATATACTAATTTACTATTTCAAGTATTTATGATTATTTTTATTTATTTGTGTATTTATTTTACATTTATTCATTTTATTATTGTTATTATTATTACTACTCTAACAAAAAATTAGAAAATAATAAGTAAACTACTATAACTAAAATAAAGAAAATTATAAAGAAAATACTAATCTCAACCCAACCCTAACAAAAAACAAAATAATAAAAAATGAATAATAGTAATAAAAACTAAAGCTGATGGAAAAACAAAAAAACCTAGCAACAAATGATGTAGCAGATAATATTTTTCTCTAATAAAAAACCGCGAAAGTTTAAAAACGCGCAAAAAACCGTGTGCTACAAAAATGCTGAAAGACACTATGCTCAGGTGTGAATGCAGCCTAATAGGGATCTCAGTATCTGTGCATTCTCAGAATTCCCCACCTACTTCTTCCATGTAATAGGAACTCCCGGTCTCTCTGCAAGACCTCCCTCCTGACCCATTTGTTTGTACATAGAATCATAATAAATAATACAAAATATAAGGCAATTTTAAAGTATATACATGTATCTAAAGACAAAACTTTTTTCTTTTGCAGAGTGGGGAGTAAACACCCCTCTTTTATCTTTTTTTTTTTTTTTTTTTTTGTGTCATCTGTATCCTATTGGAGCGATTTCCCTTCACTTCCTGACCTGTAGAAACAACAGGAAGTGAGACAAATTTCTTCAAAAGTGAGGGAAATCTCTTGTTACCAGAACAAGTGCTCTCGTTGGGAAATTTTCCATCTACTTCTGTTCTACTGACAACTTCATTTTTTTTTCTTCCAATCCCAGTGACAATAGTAACCATGGCAAATAGGAGGGGTTGAACTCCCTATTAGGAACACAGACAGCAATAAAACTGACAAAGCTTCTAGGCCTTCTTTACTCTATACAAAAATACCAGAAAAAGTTTTTTTAGTTTTAGATGCATGTTAGTGTCTAGATCACCTCCCCACCACCAGCAGGCTGATGGGATGTTACCTGTACTTTTAATTTGCTTTCTGGTTTGTGTGGGAAAAGCAGCAAGCCAATCACAGAAACCGTAAATGAGAGTGCAGGAATTGTTTTCAGTAGACACACAGTATTTTATTATGAGTATATTGTGGCAAAATCTCTTTTTTTTTTTTTTTTCCTCGTGCTTGAACTGTACTGTGGAAGTATTCTTTTCCATATGATGCATACAAGATCAGTACATGCTGTATCTTTACAGAAGGATATAGTTAATGAAGAGGAGAGTGACAAGGAAGTGGAATCTAGTTCTTTGAAGGGAGCCAGCAAAGTGTCAGAAGATAAGCAGTCCAGGGCAGCTTCTCGTATCTGCCACCAGCATCTGGATCTACGGGCTGGAATCTGCCCTTTCGAGGTCGCCCAAGACCTTTCTCTGCTTGCTTGTCGGTGCTTGGGTCGTCAGAAAAAACGTCCACGCATGGTAGAGGTAATTGTTCACTTGTAAATGTAAATCCATGAATATATATATATATATATATATATATATATATAAAAACCCCTGGTGTGAGTTAGATCTGTGAGCCGGACATTTTTGTCCACGCTATAGCAGATTTATTGCTACAGGGCTGACGATCTATACAAAATTACATGTATATATGCGTGATTTTGCACCTCTGCTGTAGAGGGGACAAGTGTGCCGCTTCTGCTATGATTTGACACAGCAGAAGTCAATCAACTGATGTAGGCCAATGGATGCACAGCAGCATGTAAATAAAGCAGAGCTGTGTCCTGTCACCACGATGTGCTGGATTGTCTTTCCCTGCAGGAATGCAATCTGGCACATCCAGTGGTAAAAACGGCACATATCACACAGTAGAACGCTGGTTAGGCACATACTTCACCCTTTGAATGCCTGAGATGTTAACCCCTTCACAGGCAGTGTCATTTAATACAGTGATAGTGTATATTTTTAGCACTGATCACTGTATTAGTGTCACTGGTTCCCACAAAGTGTCAGTTAGTGTCAGACTGACTGCTGCAATATCACAGTCCCATTATAAGTCGCTGATCGCCACCATTATTAGTAATAAAGAAAAAAAATTCCAGTGTATATATACCATAGTTTGTAGATACTATAACTTTTGTGCAAACCAATCAATATACGCTTATTGGAAGTTTTTTGGTTTTTTTTTTAAATTGCCAAAATTATGTAGCAGAACACATTTTGGTCTAAATTTATAAATTTGATTTTTTTTTTATTATTTTATTGGATATGTTTTATAGCAGAAATGACAAATTGTCAGTATTTGTTTTTATAGCGCAAAAAATAAAAAACCCAGAGGTGATCAAATACCACCAAAAGAAAGCTCTGTTTGTGGGGACAAAATGATATAAATTTCATTTATGTACAGAGCTGCATGACCACGCAATTGTCACTTAAGTAACACAGTGCTGTATAGCAAAATAACAGCCTGGTCCTGAAGGGAGGTAAATTCTGGAGCTGAAGTAGTTAATGACTATAGACATATTATTAATGTTGTGGATATAAAATTACAGAGGAATATTTTGTCAGACTTGGGGCCAAATGAGTTGGGGGTTTTTTGTACTCTGTATATTACTTATGAAAATGATCCCTTGCATCTTGGTTGTTTGACAGATAGAACAGGAAGCAAAGAAAATGCTAATGGCAAAGAAAAAAAAACTACTTGTGGTGTGAGGAAGGGTTGGAACCTCTGTCATAGTTTTTTTTTGCTTTCGGTGTCCCTATTTCTCCCAGTTGGGGACACGAACAGAAATAACAAGTTAACATGGGTTTTAGGTTCTACCTGTTGTCCCTATCCTCTTCCCCGTTGCTGAATTCAAACTAAAAACCAACGGTATGCAGAGAAATACACAGCAGCATGTTACTGCTGGCAGCAGAGAGACTTGTGTTGTTTACACACAGGTCTCTCCCTTGTCAGTGATACTCGGCGACAGCCGTGTGCTGGTGTAGAATCTCCGGCTGGGACCCAGTGATTGACATCCGTAGCTGCCAATTGTGGCACGGGTAGGGCGGCGCACACCCTCTACCCAGAAATGCAAAATCAAGTGTATATATGTGTAATTTGGCGCAGCCCTGCCGCCCTGTAGCAGTAGTTCTGCTATAGGGCAGTCAGGAATCAGTTAATTTCTTATTTTTTTTCCAAAACTTTGTGAAAAAATTACAACTTAAAAAAACTATAAACCTCTTACTAAATATCCTTGGGACTGTCTACTTTCAAAAAAGGGGTCATTTGCGGTATTTGTACTGTCCTGGGGTTTTAGAGCCTCAAGATATGCGCTAGGTCATCACTACATCAGGACTGATCAATTTTCTGAATAAGGAAGAAAGATTATTTATTTGCAAACTTTACAACAGAAACTAGGAAAATGTTTTGTTTTTTTTCTGTATTTTTCTTTCTCGTTTATATAGCAAAAAAAAAAAAAAAATGTAGCATAAAGAAAAAATAAAATAAAAGCTCAGTGGTGATTAAATACCACGGAATAAAAGCTTTTTTTCTAAAAAAAAAAAAAAAAAAATTGATAATTTTATTTGGGTACAGTGTTGCAAGAAATTCGGCCTGGTTAGGAAGGGGGTGAAAGTGGTTAAAAAGCGTCTTCACAATTTTGTGTCATTCTCCTATTGCGTTGTGCCCCTGTGTAGCAATGTGAAGAGCATCCACTCTCATGTACTCCAGTTCCATAATTTACATGAATGGAAAGGATTGTTGCATAAAAAACAATATCCTTCTTGATTTTCATTATTCAATAAGGGGAGCTACAGTACCAGATTTCACCACAGGGTGGAGCCATAGTCCTGTAAAATCTGTCATTCCCATGAGTATACAATTTCTGACTCGCTGGTTTTCTGATATATTTTTTGCATATTGGTTTAATCTCTGGAGAATCTCACAATTCAGGAATTCACAGCTCTAAAAAAAAAAACTGATTTTATACAGGTTGGACGAACCTGCATGCATGTGTTCAGGGGAATCCCGGAATATGTCTGCAGTTCACCCTGATCTGTAAACAGATGTGTGTGTGTCGTTGCAGCCAGGACTAGACCGCACTAAGGCTGTGCAGCAGGCTCAGTATTGTACTGGTCCACTGTGCTGGGCATAGTTCACAGAGTGATAGTAAAGTAACAAGTTTTGAAGATGTTCCTGTCAAGTGATGTGACTAGTGACCACTTGCCGCCCTGCCACTGTAGGAAAACGGCGGCAGGGCGGCACGGGCAGGCAAAACGTGTGTTTTGTAAACAGGTAGGGGGCGTGCGCGAGGCACGCCGCCGCCCTACCTGTTCCGCCGATCACAGCCGCAGATGTCAGTCGCCGGGTCACAGCCGGCCCTTACCGGCTATCTCCTGGTGATTGGCGGCAATCAGTGACAGAGAGCACAGCTGCAGTAGCTGTGCTTTCTGTCACTTCCCTGACAGCTCGAGGACAAGCTGAGCGGGACAGAAGAGTTTCGCTCTCCTGATCAGCTGTGTCCCCTGCAGTACACACCCCGCCCCCTAGTAAAACACTTCCCTCACACAGATAACCCTTTCCCTGAAAAATAAACTTAACCCCTTCCTCCCCAGTGCCATTAGTACAGTGTCAGTGTGTTTTTTTTTTTTTTTTTTTGCACTGATCACTGTATTGGTGTCACTGGGGATGTCAGTGACCCCAAGCCAGTACCCCCCCAGTGTCAGAATGTCCGCCGCAGTCCCGCTATAAGTCCCTGATCGCCGCCATAAGTCGCTGATCGCCGCCATTATTAGTATAAAAAAAAACTAAAAATCCCAGTATCTTTCCCGCCATTTGCAAACGCTATAACTTTCACGTAAACCAATTATTTTACACGTATTGGGTTTTTTTTTTTAGCAAAGACATGTCGCAGAATGCATTTTGGCAGAAATTTATGACTAAATTTTGATTTTTAAATTTTTTTTTTTTACTGGACATGTTTTATAGCAAAAAGTCCAAAATATTGTTTTTTTTCCTCAAAATTGTCAGCCTTTTTTTTTATAGCGCAAAAAATAAAAACCGCACAGGCGATCAAATACCACCGAAAGAAAGCTCAATTTGTGGGAAAAAAAAGGATGTAAATTTAATTTATGTACCGTATTGCATGACCGCGCAATTGTCCGTTAAACTAGTGCAGCGCTGTATAGCAGAAAAATGGCGTAAATTGCAGTATCTATACCATAGTTTGTAGACGCTATAACTTCCACACAAAGCAATCAATATACACTTATTGGGTTTTTTTTTACCAAAAACATGGAGCAGAATACATTTTGGCCTAAATTTATAACCAACTTTGAGTTTACTATATATTTTTTATAGCTGAAAGTAAAAAATATTGTTTTTCTTCAAAATTTTTGGCCTTTTTTTTGTTTATAGCGTGAAAAATAAAAAGCGCACAGGTGATCAAATACCACCGAAAGAAAGCTCTATTTGTGTGAAAAAAAGACGTAAATTTCGTTTGGGTGCAGCATTGCATGACCGCGCAATTATCAGTTGAATTAGTGCAGCGCCGAGTAGCAAAAAGAGGCCTGGTTATTAAGGGGGGTAAATCCTCTGGAGGGCAAGTGGTTAAAGAGATCAATGAAGGAATGAGATCTTACATTTCTATATGCAGATTTCACACTAATATGGGCTGCGTCATGTCAGCCATGCAGAAACAATGCTGAATTCTCAACAGCAACCGCCTTCTTGTTCTCGGGAAAATTTTATTATAACCACTTCATCTCTCACACCTGTTCACCCCCCCCTATGGACCAGAGCCATTTCTACATTTCTGGTACGGACCTGTTTATTCCGCAAGACCTTTATTTTTACTAAAGATAACGCATAAATTATTATTATACAGGATTTATATAGCGCCAACAGTTTCCTCAGTGCTTTACAATATAAATCGTTTTAAGGACAAGACTGATACTTTCTTGCAACAGGGATTTTTTTTTTTTTTTCCGCAATCTAGACAGTAAAACGCATTAATATTAAACAAAATGCACTTTCCTTTTTTGAGCGGTGTTAGTTTAACAATAGATAGTGCTGCTGTAGATAAAAAGTGCACATTTTATTCTGTAATTTGTCCTGTTTAACAACAACTTGAGTTCCAGAAGATTTTACCCCTTCATGACCAGGCTAATTTTTTGCTATTTAGCACTGCGCTACTTTGGCTGGTAATAGCGTGGTCATCCAATGCTGTACCCAAACAAAATTTATATCATTTTTTTCACACAAGTAGAGCATTCTTTTGGTAGTGTTTGTTAATCGCTGGGTTTTTCTTGGTGCGCTATATAAATGAAAATAGACTGAAAATTTTGGAAGAAAATTATTTTTTACTTTGCTATAAAACAATAAAAACATTTTAAAAAAATCAAATGTATTCTTAAATGTTGGCCAAAATGTATTCTGCTACATGTGTTTTGATGAAAAAAAAATCCTAATAAGTATATATTGATTATATTGATTGGTTTGTGTGAAAGTTCTAGAACTGACAAACTATGGTACATATACTGGAATTTTTTTTTTTTTTATACTACTAATGGCGGTGGGCAACAACTTATAATGGGACTGCAATAGTGACACTGACACTGGGGGAAAGTAACTGCCACTGACATCATCAGTGACATTAATACAGTGATCAGTGATAATGTTATATACTGTCACTGTACTAATGACACTGGCTGGGAAGGGGTTGACACCTAGGGCTAGGGGCATCAAGGGGTTATATGTGTGCCTAACTATGTGTACAGTGTGCTGCTTTTACTACTAGATCTCTGTTTCTCATCCCTGCTTTGCAGGGACGAGAAACTGACAGATCGCTTGCTCTGTACAGAGCTCTGTGTTGTTTGCCAACACAGAGCTCTAGGCTGTGATTGTACACAACTGATCAGCAGGTCCTGCCCATGAATCAATGTCCAGGACTTGCTGACAGGTATATGCGCACCCTAAAGCTGGACGTAGGCAGCGATGTACGGGTATGTTGCTTTGCCACTTACGGGCGCTAAGTGGTTCAAAAGACACTAGAATTATGATTCTGGTACTAAGCATAGCAAAGTTATTTACTAACAAATTAAAGGGTTTTTTTTCAGTTTTGCACTATTTTTGAATGGGAAATGTGTAAATATGGTAAACTGGAGCTCCAGTCACAGCTAAAAAAAATAACAGTCAGCAGCTACAAAAACTGTAGCTGCTGACTTTTAAAAAACAGCCACTTACCTGTCCCATGATCCATCACTGTAGCCAGTTTCACTGACCGTCTTCGCTCGCTGGTGCCAGCATCTTAAGTGTGGGTGCCCACTGCGCATTTGCGAGTAGCGCTGCACCTTGTGAATGGTCTTGTAGTCTTCTGGGACCTGTCACGTGTCCCAGAAGACTATGGGGAGGGGGGGAGGAGGATAACCCACTCGTCCCCCCCCCCCCCCCAACACACACAGACAGACAGACACCCCTTATGGGGAGCAGGAGACCAGCATTTAAAGTGGATCTTCCTCTGTTGGGTGTAGCTCTGCTTTAAATGTGTAAAGATGATGGCAAACAAAAAGAAAAAAAAATGTTTGAATAACAATAGTTGATAAAATAGAGACTGAGACTTATGAGTTAATTAGTGTTGATTAGAGTAAACTAAGGGTTAATAAGGGGTTAAACAGAGACAAAAGAGACAGACAAACATTTTTTTTTACTTGTCCAGTAGATTTCATTATTTTAACCTCTTTGCATGGAGAGTATGCAAATATGTGGCCTCTTGGCAGGTGGGCCCTGACCCCAAGAGGCCACATATTTGCATACAAAAATGTAAACAAGCCTGTGCGGAGAGTGAGCACCCTACATGCTCTTGGCACACAGTTACCAGTGACTAACAGCTCCTGATCACTACGTGTGATTGGGAGCTTTCTGATCATGTGACCACTGTGACAGCCAATCATGGCAGTCATATGATCATAAACCCCACCCCGCCTCCAATCCAGAGCAGTGTGCTTACAGTGAAGCACAGGGACACCGCCCTTCCCCCCAGTAAAACACTCCCTGTACACAGTTAACCATTTGATTGCCCCTCATGTTAACCCCATCTTGCCCAGTGCCATTAGTACAGTGTCAGTGCTTTTTTTTTTTTTTTTTTTTTTAGCACTGATCACTGTATTGGTGTCACTGGGGATGTCAGTGACACTAAGTCAGTTCCCCCCCAGTGTCAGAATGCCCGCTGCAGTCCCACAGTTGCTTATCCCTACCATTACTAGTTAACAAAAAAAATAGATTTCAGTATATATACCGCCATTTGTAAACGCTATAAACTTTGATGTAAAGCAATTAATTTACATGTATTGGGATTTTTTTTAGCAAAGACATGGAGCAGAATACATTTTGGCTTAAATTTATGACGAAATTTGATTTTTTTTTTTTTTTTTACTGGACATGGAGAAAAAGTCCAAAATATAGGTTTTTTTTTCCTCAAAATTGTCGGTCTTTGTTTTTTTTTTTTATATAGCGCAAAAAATAAAAACTGCACAGCCAATCAAATACCACCAAAAGAAAGCTCAATTCGTGGGGATAAAAAAGACAAATTTAATTTGGGTGCAGCGTTGCATGACGGCGCAATTGTCAAAGTAACGCAGCACCATAATGCAAAAAAATGGTCTGGTCATGAAAGGGGTAAATCTTCAGGAGGGCAAGTGGTTAAAGAAACCCTCTGGTTAGAAATGGGTGCCATGGCTTCAGAACTTGGAGCTATTGTTTTAGAACAAGTAGGCAGGTCAGAAGTCATCTTCACTTGCTGCATACTTGTTCCAGGTCAGTTATCTAGCATTTTGAAGGAGGATATGGCAGTTTTTTTGTGAGTTAGCATACATAAAAGCCAGCCTTCTGTGAAATGGTTGTAAAGAGAAGACTGTGTAGGTGGGGGATGGAATATTGTCTGTATTGCAAAAATCGTCAAAAAAAAAAAAAAAAAAAAAACAACTTTAAAGAATTGGCCATAATACATCTAAAAGCTGCTCATGTTTTGTTTGTTTTTAGGTGTTTAATGAAATTAAAAGGCTTCAGGAGCTCTTGGCCTTGATGGAGATTGGACATGACGGCGGTGATCTCTGTGGTGGTGCTTATGCAGGATCAGGCTCCTTTCCACCAATGTCAGACCTTCCTTTCCAGTTTGCAGGATTCCATCCTCAGCCCTCAGGAAAACACGGACAAATTTACCGCTTCTGGCCTTCGTATGAATAATCCAGCGAGGGGTAGTGTGCGGCCTTATGGCTACTCTGCCTCCCATAGTGAGGAGGACAAGCCAAGCAGTCTCTGTAGTTTACCTTCTTGTGAAAGTCACAGGACTTTTCAGAGGAGTCCGAATCAGCCTGTGGAGAGTGATGAGAGTATTCCGGAGTATTACCAGTCCACTTTCTCTGAGGAACGTAGGTGTGAACTCAGCAGACTGCAGTGTAATCCAGTGCACCGAGGAGCCTTGCATTGCCGGAGTACAGCACATGCAACATCAAACCAATCTCAAAGCCTTAACCCTGAGACTGGACAATGCCATGGCTCTGTGCAAGAGGGGAGCAGCTTGCCATCATCGGGCTCTCAGGGTAGGTTTAGTTGTGTCGAAGAGGTACAATAGATATTTGTGCGTAATGTTCAAAGTGTGTTTGTAAAGTCATTCAAAAAGTGAACCTATTTATTTTTTATACAAGGCAAAGCAACAGGTCCACTTAGCTGCCACCGTACCAAGCTTCTTATATTCCCCTTTGCTTCAGTCCTTCACTGCATCGTTTTGCCACTGGGAGGGAAGAGAAATACCCGGCTGTGATGTTCCAACATTCAGTACATTGGGTGATGTTAAAGGGATATATCTATATCTATACACATATATATATGTGTATAGATATAATGTGTGTGTATGTATATATATACAGTCAGGTCCGTAAATATTGGGACATCGACACAATTCTAACATTTTTGGCTCTATACACCACCACAATGGATTTGAAATGAAACGAACAAGATGTGCTTTAACTGCAGACTGTCAACTTTAATTTGAGGGTATTTACATCCAAATCAGGTGAACGGTGTAGGAATTACAACAGTTTGCATATGTGCCTCCCACTTGTTAAGGGACCAAAAGTAATGGGACAATTGGATTCTCAGCTGTTCCATGGCCAGGCGTGTGTTATTCCCTCATTATCCCAATTACAATGAGCAGATAAAAGGTCCAGAGTTAATTTCAAGTGTGCTATTTGCATTTGGAACCTGTTGCTGTCAACTCTCAAGATGAGATCCAAAGAGCTGTCACTATCAGTGAAGCAAGCCATCATTAGGCTGAAAAAACAAAACAAACCCATCAGAGAGATGGCAAAAACATTAGGCGTGGCCAAAACAACTGTTTGGAACATTCTTAAAAAAAGGAACGCACCGGTGAGCTCAGCAACACCAAAAGACCCGGAAGGCCACGGAAAACAACTGTGGTGGATGAGCGAAGAATTCTTTCCCTTGTGAAGAAAATGCCCTTCACAACAGTTGGCCAGATCAAGAACACTCTCCAGGAGGTAGGTGTATGTGTGTCAAAATCACCAATCAAGAGAAGACTTCACCAGAGTGAATACAGAGGGTTCACCACAAGATGGAAACCATTGGTGAGCCTCAAAAACAGGAAGGCCAGATTAGAGTTTGCCAAACGACATCTAAAAAAGCCTTCACAGTTCTGGAACAACATCCTATGGACAGATGAGACCAACATCAACTTGTACCAGAGTGATGGGAAGAGAAGAGTATGGAGAAGGAAAGGAACTGCTCATGATCCTAAGCATACCACCTCATCAGTGAAGCATGGTGGTGGTAGTGTCATGGCGTGGGCATGTATGGCTGCCAATGGAACTGGTTCTCTTGTATTTATTGATGATGTGACTGCTGACAAAAGCAGCAGGATGAATTCTGAAGTGTTTCGGGAATATTATCTGCTCATATTCAGCCAAATGCTTCACAACTCATTGGACGCCACTTCACAGTGCAGATGGACAATGACCCAAAGCAGACTGCAAAAGCAACCAAAGAGTTTTTTAAGGGAAAGAAGTGGAATGTTATGCAATGGCCAAGTCAATCACCTGACCTGAATCCGATTGAGCATGCATTTCACTTGCTGAATACAAAACTGAAGGGAAAATGCCCCAAGAACAAGCAGGAACTGAAGACGGTTGCAGTAGAGGCCTGGCAGAGGATCACGAGGGATGAAACCCAGCGTCTGGTGATGTCTATGCGTTCCACACTTCAGGCTGTAATTGTCTGCAAAGGATTTGCAACCAAGTATTAAAAAGTGAAAGTTTGATTTATGATTATTATTCTGTCCCATTACTTTTGGTCCCTTAACAAGTGGGAGGCACATATGCAAACTGTTGTCATTCCTACATCGTTCACCTGATTTGGATGTAAATACCCTCAAATTAAAGCTGACAGTCTGCAGTTAAAGCACATCTTGTTCGTTTAATTTCAAATCCATTGTGGTGGTGTATAGAGCCAAAAATGTTATAATTGTGTCGATGTCCCAATATTTATGGACGTGTGTCTGTGTGTCTGTCTGTGTCTAAAATCTGCAGCTGCTGGTTCCACTGTCAGAATACAATGTCCCAGCACCTCATTTGTGTGGATGGAGGAATCTTTGTTACTACTCATCTGTTGCCAGCTATAAAGGGTTACTTCACCTTTAGAGAAAAAAAAAAATGTATATGTAAAAGTGAACTTACACTGGACATCCCCCCCCCCCCCCCCATGTATGTTACTGCCACACAATACATACTATTACTCTGATGTTGAAGATCCCTGTGTGTGAAGTTGTCATAGTTTAGGACGTCAGCCAGAAAAGTGTATTTTACTGTAAAGTAGAATGTCAGTTCTGTATTATTGTAACTGGCATCATTCTCCTTCCAGCTATCTCAATGCCACATCACCAGATCATCATGAATCCAGCCAAACAGAGATTTGTGGAGCAGCTGGCGCTATATGACCAGGGGAAAATAAACAGCCTAGAACTGTTGTACTCTGGAAACAGTCCAGGTAACCAGCTTTGCAAAGGTCTTCTGGCGCTCATACTCTTCTCAGATATTACTCTGATCACATCTGTACTGCTGCACGGTATTACTTCATATATTATTGACATGATATCCAATATATCATCTAGGTCATTTAAATGCTATCCATCAGTATTCTTACAATATAAGTGCATAGAAAAAAGAACACTGCAAACAGATGTTTGTGTAAAATATCTTTTTTGGTGGATTTTTTCCAATTTTATTTATATTTCCTGTGCAGCTTTTGTTTCCTATAATACATTTAGGTTAAAAGTGGCAGTGTTTCCTGATATCGCTTTCAACTGGTCAGTAGGATAAGACATCATCTCCTGCCATTATTGGCAAGCAGATCACACCTGCCTTTGTGATTGGTGGGGCAGAGAGTACACTCCTGCTGCACCTCAGCCCAGAGAATCAGAATGGCCGAAGATCCAAACCTGGAAGAAGACCTGGTGAAGATAGAAGCGCGGGCATCACAGCACTTTGCCTTCAAGACCTGCCATAATGTGCAAATATGCTACACATACTTGTACAAAATGGCAAAAAAAAAAGCTTCCGGGGCACAAAATTGGCCATTTCGTTTAGTGGTTTACTTCTCCTTTAAATCAGAGAAGCCACAGAGTTTACAATGATATGAACTCTGCACCTACACTGCAACATGATTTTCACAGACAATCTAATACGGTCTACACCTTATCAGATTGTCTGAAATTCTTGCTAGCAGATCCCTTGTGGAAATATGCATTTTCATTTGGGATCGGTTAGTAGTGAAATGGTTAATCATACGCTTCCAACACAGATCTGAAAGGGGTAATCATGCACTTTCAACTGGGGTCTCATCTGCCAGCAATTAAAGGGTTCGTTATGTCCTGTCACCTGGGTTCACATATATGCGGTGCGGTATATCGCATGTGATTCCCACAGGAACCGTACCGGATTCCTGTGCAAATCACATTCGATTTGTGTGCGGTGCGATTGGAGCCATACATTATGTATGCCTCTAATCGCACCTCACCCGCACCCAAAAAGGTGCAGGACCATTTTTTTGAATCCTCACTAGAATTGGATCGCATGGGTAGTCACACCTATGCGATCTGATTCTGCACATCGCACCGCATTTTGTGGACCGCTTTCGGTGTGGTGTTAACATACACACCTGCAGCGGTTCGCATGACCGGGGTGCGATTCTGCTGCGGTACGGAATTCTCACAGAAAACCCTGCGAATTCCGCATCGCATCAGTGTGAACCAGGGCTTAAACTTTCATTGCTAGAAGATTCCTGGTGACTGTACATGATTAACCGAGTGGCAGAACTAATAGAGTCTCAAAGGTCACACTTGCGACTTGGCCCTGGTGTTCCGCCACCATGGGAGGTCCCCTAAGATGACAGGAAAGAAGCCTGCTGCGGGACCATAATAAAGGGCCTTAGGATCGGTGGGAAGGGTTCCAGGACCAATGGAAAGGGCCCCTGGGGTCCTTTATGGTTCTTGCAATGGGGCCCTGAAGGTTCTAGCTACACCTCTGAGAGGCAGACAAAGACTGGAAGCCTTCTGTTCACCTCTATGATATACAAAATAGGAAGCGATGACCATATATCACTTCCTGTTTCCCCAGCGCCATTTTTTAAAATGGAAAGCATTTGATCACACAGATCTTGGTGATATTAAATGCTTTTAAGGGCAGAGGAGGGATCTGGGGTCTTATTGACCCCAGATCTCTCAATAAAGAGTACCAGTCACTGCCTATTTCTGTTACAAGGGATGTCCTTGTCACAGCCATAAAAGTGATAATAAAGCAACAGTGTAAAAATAAAAAAATACTACTTTTTTTAAAGCATCCCTATCTCCCTGTACTGCTGCGCAAAGGCAAATGCATGTGTATGTCCCACATGCATGCAAACAGCGATCATTCCACACATGTGAGGTATCACTACGAACGTGAGATCATGGACTGTAATTCTAGCACCAGAACTCCTATGAAGGCTTTTGGATAGTCGCCTATGAATAGTAAAATTTACATAGTTTGTTGCCATTGCGGGGGTGGGCACATTTTTAAAGCGTGACATAATTGGTGTCGATTTACTCAACCTAACATCATCTTTACCAGAAAACTGGGTTACATATTGTGTTTTTTTTGCATTCAAATTAAGTGTATTGTTTTTTTAATATTATATATAATGTTTGGGGATTCTAAGACATTTTCTAGCAAAGAATGAAAAAGCAATATTAAAAGTTTAAATCACCCTAAAGCCCCTTTCCTTTTTAAAAGCACCTCTGGCTAATAAACAGCAACACTTCATACTTTCCATTCTGGAAAAAAAAAGTATTTTTTTTTTTATCAGGACAAGTAGGATTGTCATGAGGGACAAATAGATTGGGACCCTGAATAAGTCCCTGGACAAGTAGTTTTTTTAAAAAAATTTCCACACCCCGATACATACACATACTAGCCTACCAGCCTGTCTTTGGAGTGTAGGAGGAAACCAGAATACCCAGAGGAAACCCGCACAGGGAGAACATGCAAACTCCAGGCAGGTAGTGAGTGCCAAGGTTGGGATAAAAACCAATGACCACAGTCCTGCCAGGTGGAAGTGCTGCCCATTTTAATAAATTTTTAATATTCAAAGAAAACTCACCCATCTATCCATGTCTCCCTGCTTTATTTTGCTGAGAAATCACTTTGAAAAACACCCTCCTAGCATTTCTAGCTGCAGCCATCTAAAGTAAGGGCAGAGGATGTAGTATTTACTTCAATGAATCCATCTGCCCTTAGTTCAGGCATACAGACAGGATGTTGTGCCTAGCTGAGGAACCCCCCCCCCTCCCCTTCTCCAGATGAAATAAACAAAAATGCACATAAAGACTCCTGTGATGTATGACATCATTTTGTCCTAAGCCAGAAATTGGAAAGCAACTAAAAAAGTTTAAAGTGGTTCTAAAGGCAGAAGGTTTTTTACCATAATGCATTCTATGTATTGAGGTAAAAAAAAACCTTCTACATACAGCTTCCTCCTCAGCCCCCCTAAGTACATACCTTAGCCTGATCTTGATCCAGTGATGTGCACAAGAGCAGGAGTTCTCTTGGCTTCCTCTGCTGTCAATAACAGCCATGGAGGAGAGATGGGGGCGGGGCCTGAATGCTCTCTGTGTGTCAATGGACACAGAGCAGCGGGTCGGGAGCAAGCACACAGAATTGCCCCCCATAAGGCTCAGTTCACACTAGCTTTGTCAGCAGGTGTCAGACAGACGTTTAGGAAGCGTTTTTAACGCTTTTCAAACACCTATGAAATTTCTGCACATGGCAGCACACAGTGCTGTTCACACTGAAGCGTTAGCGTCGTGTCGCGGCAAAACTGACGCTTCGTGTCGAGTCAGGAGGAGTTGAAGTCTCCCATTCAGGTCTATGGTGCCGTTCTGCAAACGCCTGGGAGGTGTTTGTGGTGCGGTTGCGACGCGTTAATACCATTTAACTTCATTATAGGCATTTGTGGTGCGGTGTTAACGCTTGGCAAACGCCTATCAACCGCCTCAAAACTGTGCATGGGACATTTGGGGAACATTTGAGGAGTGTTAAAAATGCTTCCCAAACACTGTAGGGGCCTGTCAAACGCTATAGGGGCGTTTGGCAAGAGTTAGAAATAAAGTCAAGTGTGAACGAGCCCTGACAAGCAGAGGAGGGGCCAGAAGTGGGGGCGGGGGGACCCGCAAAGAGGAGGATTGGGGCTGCTCTTTGCAAAACCAATAAACAGAGCAGCTAAGAATGATGTGTTACTTTTATAAAATAAAAATTGTGCCTTTTTAGAATCGCTGTAACACTGCAAAAGAAGTAAATCTAATATACCTTCCTATCTATTCACGAATGCTAGCAGCATCAGGATTAAAAATAGTTCATGATGATTGAGAGTTTAGTTCACCTCTAAGAAATATGTAGGCTGCCATTGCTGACTTGTTTTTCTGATTCAATGCTTTGAGTCATTGAGCTGGAGAAAGCATGTAACACATGGAGTCAGGCTGAAGACAGAACACTTCATGTGCTTATTTGTTTTGGATTGTTTGCATTTTTTTCTGTGTATTTCTTTTTATGTCTCCATGCAAGCCAGTAGACATGCAGATCTTTTAAACAAATAAATGCATCTGAAATGCTTAGAAATGCATGTTGTAGTAAACTAAACCTGTATTGATATGTGTCCTGGTGAATGCCCCATAATAGTAGACAAAAGCTATAAATTCCTGACTTTGTTCCCGTCCCCCTTGGAGGTTTGGGTGTTCCGTCCACCTTTGTGTTGTAGTACTTCTGCTTCACTCTGTATTATATAAAAAAAGTAATAAACTCGAATAGGCAGAATAGGAACTCCTCATAATGACCCCAGCACATATGCAGACTCAGGACTCGCAGATATCAGAAGCGCAGATATCCCGCATAGTCATTAGGCGATAAAAGAAACTGTCAGGTGCTTTAACCCCTTCACGCCAGATTTTCCCGGCGTGAAGAGGAGTTCCTGCGCCGGGAGGTGGACGGGGCGGGGCTTAGTGACATGTGGCCGTCATGACGTCACGTCAGACGGTCACATGATCGGAAAAGGTCCCGATCGAAAGAGCGGAACGGGACCTTTTTGTGAGTACCTCACAAGTGTGCTGGGAGCGCGCACTCTCAGCACATATGTTTTTTGTTACATGAACGCAAATGCGCGGCCGCTCGGCGTCTAGGCCCAGACGCCGGGAGGCCGCATATTTGCGTGCGGCCGGCGTGAAGGGGTTAAAAAAGACCCTCTCACCACATTTAACAAGGTCTAGTTAGCAAATGTGTCCAATCTGTAAAATAATCACTGACGGTGGCCCTATATTTCTACCAAGGGTGGATAAAGGCTACTTGCTTAGACTGAATTTACTCCGCCTAAGCCAGTGCATCTCAACATTTTTTCCAGTCAGGATGCCCTTGAAAAGTATTTTCAGTCTTGTGGCTCCTCAGTCTAAGGCTTGGTTCACATTACTTTGTGTCAGAATGTGCGCAATATTGCATGTGTTTCCAACAAGCAGACAGAGTGCTCCTTAGCAGATGCACAGGGGTGTCAATAATTCTTACTAAACCCTCAACAGTAAAATCAGTCTGTATATGTACCGTGAAGCCTAAAGGGTTAATCCTTTGCATTGTGTAAAAAAAAAAAAAGAACCTGTTTGATCCTCACTTCCCTGATCCTCCCCTTCTTCCACTGTGCCCCTCTTATCTCCTGATAAGACATATCATGTGCTGCACATGCTCAGTTTGGTGTGTATTGCTAGGGAGGTTTTGGGTTTTTTTGGGTTTTTTTCTTGGGAGCGTGCATGTGATCAGCACAGGGCCAATCGGACAAAACAGGGATTCTGCATCCTCCTAGAGCAAAATGAAAACTCCTACAACCTTTAACATGTGCTCTGCTGAACACTGATAGAGGTCATAAGACTGCTCTAACTAGCTGATGTGAAAAGGTATTTTAGCATTTACTAAAATTGCATTTCCATGTTCTGTGTACTGTGGGAAATCAGATATAGTGAATGCAGGGTCCGGGGTTTAGTAACACTTTAATGGTACTCCCAAGCATTGCAACTTTGGTGGGAACAACTATACAAAAAGGGTCAGGAATTTCTTTTGCTGGTTTCTACTGGTGGGGAAGCCTATTGAAATTATTGGTCTCCGCTACACGCAGGACACAGCCACACATATGTGAACCAAAGGCTTATTCACACGTGAGGTTGGGGGATGATAGAACCATGTGGTTGAGCTGAGTTTTTACCACCTCCAACTGTTTTCCCTTTAGCTGCAGTGGCAACAGCCAGGGACGTGCACATGCTTTGCCCATAGCTGGAAGTAAACCCCCAGGTGAATGGGGCTGCACTGAAACCATGTGCACTGCACGCGGTTGTGGCAGTAGCTCTTCACCACCTGTCAAATGCCTCACTAAAAAGACACACACACATACATTTTAAAATCTGTAGTACAGTACTTGCATGCACACTGGGCACTACATTTCTGGGAACTGCTCTGTAGGGAGAGGCAGAGAGCTCAGGACTCGGAGCTGCCTCCCCATTCTGCTGCTTTCACTTTACTGTCCTGACCGACCTCCTGCTGTACCAAAGTACAGTTCGGCAGAGCGGGAGCTTGGTCAGATACAACAGCCTTTTTCAACAAGGATGCCGTGGTGGCACTCCTGAGGATCTCAGGTAGCGCCCTGGTTGAGAAAAAACTGGCCCAAGCAATAGTTTCAGATTCATTAATCAACACTTCCTGGAGTGTCTGAGCCTTTGACTTCTGGATCCCCCACAGTCGCCCCCTTAGCCGCTTTGTCATCATTTTGTTACACGTGCTTATAAGTGAATCTATGTAAGAGATCATCAGCTATTTTACTTTCCTAAATGCTGTTACTGGTAGGATCCCCAGGTACCAAACTTTGCAACAGATTCACAAGAAAAATAATAAAGAAAACGCTAGAGTATAAATATGGTACTAAATATAATAGAAATAGATTTTGGGTTTACATATGCTTTAACCACTTCCCGACCAGCCATTGCATTTAAACGGCCGGACGGTGTCAGTGCAGGGTCGGGTGGCCGTTTACAAACGGCCTCCCCGCCCCCTGCTTGTGCGCACTCCCTGGGAGCGCACAGCACCGCGATCCGGTGCCCGCTGTGTCCTCCGGACACAGTGAAACACCGATCGTCGGACGGGACCTCTGTACGAGGTCCCGATCATGTGATCACTGATTGGCCAATTAGTGATCACATGCAAAGTAGTAAGCAAGATGTCACTTGTGACATCATTGCTTACTACGTGTGAAATCTGTGAATGATCACAGAGGTCACATGGTACAAGCCTATTCACAACAGCCTTGTACCATGTGACAAGCTGTGACCAATCACAGCTCACTCAGTACTTCTCAATGAGTGCAAGAATGCAGACAGAGAGAAAGAGAAATGATTGCTTTTACATCCTATATGGGTGTAAAAGCAATGTGTAAAAAAAAAAAAAAAAAAAAATCTTCATCACCCCCCACAAGTAGTACAGTGTCACCATGGTGACACTGTACTGCTAGGGTGACAGTATGTAAAAAAAAATAAATAAATAAAAAATAATAATATAAAAAAATAAAATAAAAATTTTAAAAAAAATGTTTAAAAATTATAATTTTTGGTTATAAACTAATTTGGATTTTTTTTTTTACTAAAAAGATAACGGAATAAATTTTGGCAAAGATTTATAATGAAATATTATTTATTTTGCAAAATTGTATAAATTTTTGGACTTTTTCATTTACATAGCAAAAAAAAATAAAAATCCCAGCGGTGAATAAATACCACCAAAATAAAGCTTTCTCTCTGTCTCAAAAAAATGGTAAAAAATTAATTTGGGTACAGTGTTGCATGACCGCACAATTGTCATTCAAAGTGTGATAGCGCTGAAAGCTGAAAATTGCCCTGGTCAGGAAGGGGGTAAAAGTGTCCGGACTGGAAGTGGTTAAGATCATCTCCTTGAGATAAGGCATCTGTAGATAATTCATCTTGCCAGCACAAGCCAAAACATTGGGTCTTTGTGGGCTTACATTTTAGGCTCCATACACACGGGGTGTTTAATAATGCTGGTAGTATTAGCTGTGTAGTCTACTGTGGGTATAGGATTATAATTTGTTTTTTTCTTTAGGGTTGAACTGGACGGATTTTTGTCTTTTTTCAGCCAGACTAACTATGTAAATGTGTCACGTTAAAAACACAATTTTTTTAGCGGTTTTGCATTAGCGTCTAGCCCTTTCTTTCCGCATATGCGGCTTTTAGTGTTTTTTTTTTTTTCTCTCAAACAAAATCCAAAAACACTGGTTTGCCGTGTTTTACTGTGTTTGGCCGCGTTTTTACAGCTAAAAAACTCCTCTAGAAACCCACTAGTCCTGGGTTTTTTTTCTTCTAGCCAAATGTGTGCTTGGACACATAGGATAACATGCTGGGGGGTTTACTGGCTGTAGAAAAAAATGCTGAAACCAAAAACAGCCGCTGTAAAAACGTCCCGTGTGCATGAAGACTTAATTTGAAATGTTCAGCATTAATAGTCTCCTGGAAATAGTCTGCATTATGTCCACCAGCACGCACACACATTGTAGACTCGGGTTACTTTTTTTTTAACAAACAAGTTAGGAGGCAGTATTGTATTAATAATACAACTTTTTGTCTTTCTCTAGGAAACCGCTTGGAGCCCCGAGGGTATCCGGAAGAAAGTGATGACTTTCCAAGTTAGCTTCTTGGCAAGGCTGCGATAGAGGAAAGATCTACTACTTGGCACAAAGTTCTCATTCTACATGCAGAACCTTTAGCTTGCTGTTAGTGTTTATCTACAGGAAACCAGAATGGACAGGCAAGATCAAATGAAGAGGGGTGAAGTTTACTTGTCGGTGAAAACGTTCTGTCGTATTGGTTGGACCAGTAAAGCAGTATTCTATGCCCGGCCAAAGCAGGAAGGGCTTTCTGTTTGTGTTATGTAATGCTATGATCCTAATGACATTTCCTGTACACAAGACAGGGTGAGCTTACCGCTACGTGTTGCTGGCTTGTGTGTGTTTAATGGAGAATGTTTGTTAATATTTATTATACCTGTTTTTTTTAATAGATGATTGTGCTTTATATAGTCTGTTTTTTAGGTATTTTTTAATTGGTTATTGGCTCATATTAAAAGACAACCAAACTTTTGGCACAAATGTCCTTTGAAGTATGCCCCCACTATCCTGATTGCAACCCGACTAAAGAATTTCTTGCCTTCGTCCCTGTTTCATCGATCTTTACTATGGGGCCCTGCTGCACAGCCTTTCACCTGACCGCGAAGTGTCTTTGCCAGTTCCTCTTCAACCTATGCATCCGCACTGCACCTCTATTCATTCCTATGGAGAGAAGCATACTCTGCAGAAGCACTGGAAGCCATCATAAGTACTGCTCCCCACAGGAATGAATTGGCGTATGACACACTTCTGCAAGATGAAAAGGACCGAGCAGGGATGCTTTCAGAAAAAAAGGTCTCGAAGGCAAGTAAGTATTGGACAGGGGTGGACTGACAACTCATGGGGGCCCCCGGGCAATAGGGGATCATGGGGCCCCTGTGTCCTTGCCCAAACTCAAAAAAGCCTACGAAAAAGGTACCAGGGGCATCTCATGGGGCCCCCTACTGACCTCGGGCAGTGCCCGAGTTTCCAAATGGTCAGTCCGCCCCGGTATTGGACCAGGTTATATACGGAACTACACCAATTAGCTATAGATTTATGACCACTGACAGGTTACGTGAATAACATTGATTATCTCATTACAATGGTATCTGAAAGTGGGTGGGATATATTAGGCACCGATTAAACATGTTGTCCCTAAAGTTAATGTGCTGAAAGCAGAAAATATGGGCATCGCAGTTTGTTGTGTATGGAGCTGTGTAGCCGCAGACCAGTCAGGGTGCCCATGCTGACTTGTGTACACAGCCAAAAACACCTACAATGGTCACATGAGCATCAGAACTGGACCACAGAGCAATGGAAAAAGGTGGTCTGTTCTGATTAATCATGTTTTCGTTTACATCATGTGGATTTGCAGGTGCGTGTGCATCACTTACCTGGGGAAGAGGTGGCACCAGGATGCAGTATGGGAAGAAGGCAAGGGATGGAGGCTGTGTGATGCTTTGGGTAAGGTTCTGCTGGAAAACTCTGGGCCCTGCCATTCATGAGGATGTTACTTGACACAGACCACCTACCTAAACATTGCTGCTGGACAAGTTTACCCCTTCATGGAAACAGTATTCTCTAATGGCAGTGGCCTATTTCAGCAGGATAATGTGCCCTGCCACACTGAAAAGATGGTTCAAGAATGGTGTGAGGAACAAAACAACAAGCTTGAGGTATTGACTTGGCCTTAAATTTCTCCAGATCTTAATTCAATCGAGTATTTGTGGGATGTGCTAGAAAAACAAGTCTGATCAGTGGAGGCCCCACCTCACAATTTTACATTGGCTCCTGCTGCTGTCAGTCAAATGCAGTGAGGAGGAAGTGGGGGACGGGGCCAAGTCCTGCTGTGTAAGTCTATGGAGCGTGGCTCCATAGACAAACTGCTTGGGAGCGTGCAGACACTATGTGCCGCCATAGCAAACAGCTCGCTATGGAGACACTCATAGAAGAGGAGCTAGAAACGCCGCAGGGGGGACCCGAGCAGAGGAGGATTGGGGCCGCTCTGTGCAATACCATGTTTGTTATTCTTCTTTTTTTTTTTTTACTTGAGTAGCACCGTTTATTTCTTCATGTAATCCCACACAGACACGATGATGTTGAGATCAGGGCTCTGTGGGGACCAAACCATTACTTCCAGGACTCCTTGTTTTTCTTTACTCTGAAGATAGATCTTAATGGTATTGGCTGTATGTTTAGTCGTCGTTGTCCTGCTGCAGAATAAACTTGGGGCCAATCACACGCCTCCCTGATGGTATAGCATGATAAATAATATCTGTCTGTATCTGTCAGCATTAAAGACATAATTTATCCTGATCAAATTTCCAACTCCAGTTGCAGAAATGCAACCCCAAATTTGTACGGAATCTCCACCATGCTTCACGGTTGCCTGCAGAAACTAATTATTGTACCGCTCTCCAGCCCTTCACTGAACAAACTGCCTCCTGCTACAGCCAAATTTCACATTTTGACTCATCAGTCCAGAGCACCTGCTGCCATTTTTCTGCACCCAGGTTCCTATTTTTTTGTGCATAGTTGAATTGCCTAGCCTTGTTTCCATGTCCCATACTTGAAAACATCCTAAAGCAGAGGTGTCAAATGCACGGCCCGTGAGCTGAATCCGTCCGTCAGGCCATTTCATGTGGCCCTCACACCTCTGTTGGCTCAGTAGTCGGCAGCAGAGAGGAGGATAGAACTCCTACAGATCCTGCGCCTCTCTGTGCAGCCACAGCATCCCCTTGTCTCCTCCTCCCCTGGTCCCATTACAGCATTGTCACCCTACATCACACAGATGCAGAGAGACTGGCAGGATGAACAGGTATGTTGGACAGCAGAATACAGAATAACAAAGGTAAACCACTTTCTAATTTATATAGTGATGTTTTCATGTGCCTTTACCTACCCTTTAAGGATCCCTCTTAGACCTGCCATAGACAGTTTGAATCTTAGCCAATTCAGCAGGAACCAGCCAAGATTCGATCCATGTATGGGTAGGCTGAATGTACCAAGTTGACTGATCGATTAACTTGGGTACAACCAGCCTGCCAGATCTTACATGCGATTATCTCTGTCATAGCCGCTAACAATAATCACTGTCTTTTCCCGCCGGGGATGGCTTCTGCATTTGCTTAAGATCCAAGGGGAAGCTCCGAAATGAGGCGAAGCTCTGCTGATTTCTTTCATCCAATCGTGCTGTTTATGTTCCTTGCATGGTCCCCCTCAGATCTAGAGCAACTGTACTTTCAGTGCACTTGCAATGCACAGCCTATTTGCCTTTAGAAAATCAACCCCACAGATTTGGCAGGAGGGATTCCCCTGTCAACACTGGCGGTGTTGATGGGGGAATCAAGCGAATTTCTTTGCAGGAAGGAAATTTGCACCGTGTATGGCCTGCTTTAAGGTTCTTTATTACGTTGCTCATCCAAATAGGGAATAGTATTGTTTCATGTTTAGTACTGAAAATCTGGCAGCTGATTTGAGGTGTTTCATTGTTGTGCAATGACAGTCTAATATAGAAATAATTAATCTGTGCCATGTATGACACCAGTAAGTCTTAGTCATATGCAATGCAGAGCTTTTAATGACTGTCATTTCATTCTTAGCAGCACTATGACAAACGTCAATGAAAGAACAAAATGTCAGTATATTCTGAGCTGTCTACTTCTTTCTGAGAAGAAGAAACGTATGTTATACAATACATCCAGAAATAAAATTTGTCACAGATATTCAATAACACATTTATTGTTCTGTGAGACTGGAGTTTAGCAATTTTAATGCTTTACTGTGCAAAGTAGCAGTTGGCTGGGACAACACTCTGCTCCATCCTATTTGGATTTTGTAATGACTGTTGAAAGTATCTCCAAGTAGTGAGAGGAATTTTAAAGTGGTTGTAAACCCTTCAATATACCAAGTGAAGTGACTACCCTCAGGTGATACAGAGAGATTAAACAAATCCTTCAACAAACATTCTACCTGTCTATCTGCAGTCTCCTCTTCATCTGTTCAAAATGCAGAATTTATACAGCTGGTCTGAGCTTTCAAAAAGCAGGAAGTGGTGAGCTGAATTTACACTCTGAAGATCTCAGTGAGGAGGGCTGATTGGAGGGACGGGCTGAGGCTGTCTACCACAGGCTGTGTGCTGGAGCTCCCTCCCCATCACCTTTCTTCTCTTGGTGTCAGGAAAACTTGACAGGCTTGACTGTTCACTATCAGGTTCGGAAAGATCATTTGTGTATCTATAAGAGTCAAATTGAGACGTCTAGATCAAACTACTTCTCTCATGCCATTGAAAAAAAAAAAATCTTAGTGACCGTAGCCAGCTCTTCTGTACCATCGATATATTAAAACCTCGTAGTCCCTCCACGTTGCCAGCCTCAACACGGCTCTGTAACGTATTCTTAGATTTTTTTTTTTCTCCTCAAAAATTGACAAAATAAGGCATCAAATTCTTACCGCACCTCACGTTTCTTCCATATCGCTTCTTGACCCACCCAGTTTTACTGGTTCTTCTCTCTACTTGACTCTGCATCTCTGATTAAATTGGTCTCTAATATGAATTCTTCCACCTGCATACTTGATCCTATACTCACCCATTTACTGTATTTTCCGGTGTATAAGACAATTTTTTATACTTAAAAATATACCCCAAAAATCGGGGGTCATCTTAAAATGTGAACCTTGAGTTCATTTGGGTCAAGCTGGCTGGATATGCGGTAATACTGTACATACAGTATACCGTGCTGAGCCAAGCTGGCTCAAAATGAATGTCCCTATGACAGATTAATCTGTGAGCCCGCTGGATGTGCGGTATATACAGTATACCGCGCTGAGCCAAGCTGTCTCAAAATGTACCGGTACATCCCTACGGTAATAAGCCCTCTGTATGTGTGTATGTACGGTAGCTGCGGCTACATGCAGTATACGCTGGTTCAATCACGGCGAGCGATGTCTTCTACTAATGAATACAAAGCCTGCTCGGATTGGCTGAGGTTGTGACATCAGCCCGCCTCTTAGACTCAGCCAATCCAAACAGGCTTTGTATTCA